ATTCTCAACTCTATATACACTATTCTAAACTCTACCTATACTGTATTCTCAACTCTACCATGACTCTACCTATACTGTATTCTGAACTCTACCTACACTATTCTAAACTCTACCTATACTGTATTCTCAACTCTACCATGACTCTACCTATACTGTATTCTCAACTCTATATACACTATTCTAAACTCTACCTATACTGTATTCTCAACTCTACCATGACTCTACCTATACTGTATTCTCAACTCTACCATGACTCTACCTATACTGTATTCTCAACTCTACCTACACTATTCTAAACTCTACCTATACTGTATTCTCAACTCTTTAAATCTGAATTCACTCCTTATTTTAAAATAATTCCTTATTATAAACTATTTCCTTTTCTTATTTTGAATTATTTCCTTATTTTGAATTCTTTCCTTTTTCTCAACTTTTTCTTATCCTTCTTCTGAAGAATTAAACAATACTGAATGTCAGACCAAATTTAAAGTTTCCTTACCATTCGATTAGAAAATATGGGATGAATTGTTCCAGTTTTTAGAAGAGAATTATTTAACATTAAACATTCTCGACGGACCTAACAAAAAAGGCCTTGGTTCTCTCAGGCATTCTACGATACCCTGCACATTACACAGGAAGATATCGATAACATACCGGTTTTCTGTCAAATGTTTTTCCCCCATAGAAATAGAAGTTTAGGTACAGAGGGTCTAGAAAACTATAGAATAAGAAGACTAATGTTTGACTCCAGTTATGATTTTAAATAGTCCGCGAAATATTAATGAAACAAAGGATTCGTGCAGAATACCATTACACTTGATAAGTTGATTTTCGAGAAACTGGTAAAACTATTTCTTTTCTATACCGACATTAATTACACAGAAGATTGTTTAATTATAGTCTTCATATTCCACAGTGTCGTGGGTCTCATTGTAGTACCAATCGATCCATAAATATGTTTCATCCTAGAGACCACCTTTTCCTTGTTCCTGAAACCTCCTTTAATATCCGCCTTCCCCTCAGACTTTTTACTGACTTTCAAAAAATTCATTTGTAAAATGTCGGAACTTGGTGGAGTTCCACTCTCAGTGAGTGAATGGAGAGAGGAAATGAAACTATTCTCAGCGGTTCATGTACAGGGTGAGCCAGAACACGGTTCATGTACAGGGTGAGCCAGAACACGGTTCATGTACAGGGTGAGCCAGAACACGGTTCATGTACAGGGTGAGCCAGAACACGGTTCATGTACAGGGTGAGCCAGAACACGGTTCATGTACAGGGTGAGCCAGAACACGGTTCATGTACAGGGTGAGCCAGAACACGGTTCATGTACAGGGTGAGCCAGAACACGGTTCATGTACAGGGTGAGCCAGAACACGGTTCATGTACAGGGTGAGCCAGAACACGGTTCATGTACAGGGTGAGCCAGAACACGGTTCATGTACAGGGTGAGCCAGAACACGGTTCATGTACAGGGTGAGCCAGAACACGGTTCATGTACAGGGTGAGCCAGAACACGGTTCATGTACAGGGTGAGCCAGAACACGGTTCATGTACAGNTTTCTCTCTTTTATTCCTTTTATTGGGTTTATTGAACATACAGGGTTACCCACAAGGGATGAGACTGTAAAAACGACCAAAAACTCTGAAAATGTGACAATTCCAAAGTTAAATTAAGTATTCGCCTTTAAATATAGTAGTTTAATGGTTTATATAATGATCTGGCAAAGGAAGAAACAAGTAAACAGTTGCAGGGAATCATGAATATAAGGAAACAGGCAGTATAAATTCCGTACAATCGTCTCTGAAGTCTCATCCTTTGTGGATAACCCTGTATATTCTTATTCAAATTCTCTTTGCGGATATTTGCGCAAAATAAAATGTATGGACGGAAAGGAATGGATGAGGGTCGGTGTAGCATCTCTGCATTATGTTTTAGTAAAATATTTATCACAAAGTATATTCCTGAAGTTGGATACAGGCTTCTAGGGTTTTATAACTTCTGTTTAAAGGGAGTGTTCGCGAAAAATGGAAGGGGGTATAGGCTTAATGCGATAAAAAAGCGCTTTTGATCGCTACTAATCTTACTTCTATCTGTTGCGTCTATAAGGAGAAAATTGTTAAAAACGACTCATACCGAAGAACGTATTGTCCATACAAATTCAGAAAGATGCAACATTCAACTAGGATCGTAAACAAATCAATTTAATTCCAAACAAATCATTCAGATATTACAAACAATAGTCATCGATTATTTTTCGACGCATTCGTATACAGTTGCTATTTCATAATAATTTGTATTTTTCATGATCTGAGAGTTACTTTTGAAAACATTTATTCCTGTTTCGAGGATTTTTGATAATGAAGACGACATTTTAATATTTTCCAGGAATGTTCGAGAATCCAGCGCCAACGGAAATTATTTTTAAAAAAATCAAAAATATTATGAAATATTAACTTTATACGAATGCGTCGAAAAATAATCGATGACTACTGTTTGTAATATCTGAATGATTTGTTTGGAATTAAATTGATTTGTTAACGATCCAAGTTGAATGTTGCATCTTTCCGAATTTGTGAGTCGTTTTTAACAATTTTCTCCTTATAGACGCAACAGATAGAAGTAAGATTAGTAGCGATCAAAAGCGCTTTTTTATCGCATTAAGCATACCCTCTTTTATTTTTAGCGAACACTCCCTTTAAAGAAATAATAAAACTTTAAAGTTTGGATGTGGTTTAGCCCCCTATAGTGCATTGTGGAACATTTAAAAAACCTTTACCAAAAATATTTGACATAAAAGTACAGATTTACACAATAAGATTTACACAATAAGATTTACACAATAAGATTTACACAATAAGATTTACACAATAAGATTTACACAATAAGATTTACACAAGTGATAAGTTCTTTTTATAATGGTCGGCGATTATATCAATACAATGTAGACGATTTTTTATTTAAGTTTGGATTGTTTACAAGCTTTTTTCGAATTACAAGTTTACAAGTAATCAAAAAGAAAATTTTAAAATCTACAGTTTCTTTTGTTTCCATGTTTATGTGTCCATGCTGTTTAAAAGCTTATATAAATTAAAGTTTAAATCGAAAGTCTTCTTCATCTTTGTCTGATTGATATATGCGACGACAACTTTATTATCTTTAAAACGTATAGTAATAGATCCAGACGATTCTATGTATTTTCTGTACACAATTTTATATAAGTTTTTATATTTTAGCTAAAAATTACTTTTTAATGACTTTGTGAAAGTATTTTTGGAAAATAGAAATTGAGTAAAACTTTGTTTCTAACTGTTGTTAACAGATTACTGCTGTAAAAATTGAAAAAGTCTACATCATTATTTCTTCTCAGTTTTTTGTCTCAATATTTTAGCAAAAACAGTAGGCGGGAAAAAAAGCTTTGTAATCTGATGATGTAACCTTTTGATCCAATATATAAGAACTTAGAACTGCGACATTGGGTTGTAAAGATATAGACTTAGAAAATCAGGACTCGTGGGATTGAAAATCAGAGTTTGTGACAAAGACTCAATTTCTAAAGTTTTCTGTTTTTAACTGTTTGTTTATTTGCAGTGGAAGAGTCGGTGTGAGTCTGGGGAACGACAGAGAGTCATTCTAACTGCAGGACCAGGAAGTGGGTTAATTCTCCGTCTTACCGGTCAGAACTACTACAGGTACAAATATTAAACAAGGAATTTAGGGAGCTACGCGCCCACCCTTGACAAGCTTATAGGACGACTTAAATCATGAATGTTTCCAATTTCATTTATCAAAACAAGTTTAAACAAATTTCCGTTTGTTTAGGAAAGATGTTTCACTTAATGTATACATTTTTCTAACCACTTTTTACATCGCATATCGTCATATTTTATAAAAAAAAAACTTTTTAATTTAATCCTTTGAGTTTTAATAACTGATTAATGAACATGATACAATCTGTATGATTACACACTTTTAAATGAAAATATCATAAAGAAATAATATTGTATAGGTATGAGGAGTATAACTGTAGCCTGGAGGTGGTTGCAGGGACGGATATGGACGGAGTTACAGCTGTGGTGGAGCACCTAGATCTCAGGGGAGAGGAACCTGAACAATGGAGAGATCACGAGTGTCCGGACTTCATAGATATCAGGTCGGAGCAATCAATGGTTCGGAAACCTCTCTGTGGACAATGGGATGTGGAGCGAGATCATCATCTCCGACTCTCTGGGGTTGAGAAGAATATTATTGGATACTGTGTCGAGGACAGGAGCGGGCACAGTTGTGAGACGAAGAGAATCCTAGTTGATGTTTCAGTGGAGCATAACAAAACCCTCTCAGACTCCTTCCCCTCCTTGAGAAAATCCGACCGGCACGGTTTCACCATCATATTTACCGCCTGGAGACATGCAGATACCACTGGGTCTTGTGAGGACTCGGAGATGGTTTGCCCAAACTCAGATGGCGGAGTTCATGCAGAGAGGAACCACTGTATATGGCAGAAGATGATGTGCGATGGACACCAGAACTGTGGGTTTCTCGTCAACAAGGACGAATGGGGTTGCAGGCTTGGTAGAGAAACACCTTGGTCTGTAGGAACCATCACTGTTCTTGTCGCAATTTGGATTGCAATAGTTACTGTTCTCATGCTTGCAACAGTGTTCCTCCTTCAATGGAATCGAATCAGTTTCCGCACCCCCCTGGATATGCTGGCTGAAAGTCGACAAGACCACAGCCGTGGCGGTAGTCCACCGGTCACGGAACGGCTTCAGGGGGGGCACGTCATGAGTACTGCCTCAGCTCCTGATCCTAGAACCGGTGGTATGGTTAGTATTATGGTCATGTACCGTCCTCCAAATGCCGGCGGTCAGGCTGGTAAAACGGTTGATCTACCACCGACTTATGAAAGTCTTTATCTCGGAGAAAGTCCTCCAGGATACAATATGCTGACGGTGAATATCCCTAGTGCTGACCAGGTACCAGGGTCAGGTCTTAGTTCCAGACACGAAACCATGGAGTCTCTCTCCCTCCAGAATATTGAAATCACGGAGAATAACACCGCCGTGTCTCCGGATAGGGTTCAGAGTAACCTAACCCACGCTATCGGAATCCTGAGACGGGTTGCATCAGCTCAGAATACCCAGATTGAAGTTCGGGCTGATTCTACTCCAACAGAAACTGTCGTTGATATTATCCCTCGGTCTGAACCCGACCCAACAGAATCTCAGGGACTCAACTCAGAGCTCCTCAAGGAAACAATAATCTCTCCTGTTCAAGAAATCTCAGTTTAACTTCTAGATAAAATATGTAAAATGTAGATTATATCACCAGAGATTCAGAAACAGTATATAATACTCGTCTAGAAGAATATTTTAGATTCAAACCATTATTATCTCTGTATCATAATAAAGTTATTTAGAGAAACTTGATTGTTTTGCCTTGACTGGAGAAGACCATGTGTGATCTAGCTTGATATACAGTTCTCAATATACTTTCTTTAGTTAGAATATCAAGATTTTCCCATTTTATTCCTGGCGAGATCACAGGATTTCTTTCAGAGTTTCTTACAAAGATGAGATTACAGTTAAGACTTAAAAATATCAAAATCTATAGATCTGATGCCTCATTTATAGATGTTTGTGGCCCGGTATACGATTATAAAAAAAACTTCTATTCATATGGTTTAAATAATAAGAAAATACTAACATTGTATGGGCATCAATTTTTGGATCTTATTAAGGTAATTTTTGAAGTTGAAAAGAATCCTTCGATGAACAAGGATTTTAGAGACGACTGCACGCATTTTATTTAGTCGTTATCAGAGGTGTATACAGGGGGGGTATGGGGGCTCAGCCCCCACATTGCTTGCAGGGGGTTTTCGGGCCCAACGGGTGCTGAGCCCCCACCCCCTGGAAAGAAAGAAAATTAATTGCCCCTCTGGACAAATTCCTAACTACACGCCTGGTTGTTATACTTATATTTTTGGTTCCCTGTAACCTTTCCCATCTAGTAAACCTGTAGAAGTTCTAAACCCAGATTAAACCTAGCTTCAGATCGACAAAATAAATGCTTGCTTAAAACTTATTTATGAATTTCGGAAAAGTTGGAAATATTTCTCCAGATTACATGTAGTAGAAAACAACTTTGTCAAAATCCTGAAATCTGTGTCCAAATTGAGAATTTGGCCACACCTAGGTTTACAATGCTTACAAAAGCTTTAAGAAATGTCTTATTGTTAAAGGGTTTCCAGGAATTTCCCGACATGTACATTTTACTATACATACAGGGTTATCCACAAAGGATGAGACTTCAGAGACAACTGTACGGAATCTGTCTGTCATTATCAAAACATTATTGGTTCCATGCCGCTGTATCTTTCTTTGTCAAATCATAAGATAGACCACTGGAAACTTTATTCTGGGAGAAAGATCAAAAACAATCTCAAGATATTTAATGAGTTTAAGGTCGTCATTAAAGTGTTATTCTTTGTGGACAACCCTGTAGTACTGTACGTGATTGGCTCTTATTGCGCAAAATAAACAAATCCTGAAAAATTCGGTGCGGCATTGGTTGTTGGTTCTGACTTCTGAGTGCGTCCCTAATAGAATCTATTCTATTCTTTAATTGAGAAGTGAAAGGAATAAAAGGATTTCCATTGTGTCTATTCAAATTCAATATTTCAATTCTTTTAGACTTTTGTAAAATCCTTTTTCGGAGAGCAAGAGTTCCTTATCCGCAGAGCAAATTTTATTTATTGTTAAAACAAAATTTCATTGACCAATGTTAATGCATTAAATTGTCATTTACTCAAAAAAAAAACTAAAAAAAACGACATTAACACCATAAAATTGTCTCTTTTCATTAAAATTGTGAACAAAATTTTATTGTCAAATCACTTTCAATCCAGGTTGAAATCAGATCATTTTTTTCTAAATGCTAAATGTTTTATGTAACCCCATGATACAACGTTTATGTTCTTATTAGCATTCCATACAACTCTTGGGAGTCTTGGTTTAAACTCGATTTTACCCCAATGAAGAAGTTTAATTTATACGGAAGTACTAGAAGGACTTGGCGAAAACGTATCTCATATAGTTTTCAGTGTGTGAATTGTATACCTTTATTAAACAAACTGGGTTATACCTTTATTAAACAAACTGGGTCTGTTACAACCGTTTAAAAAAAAATAAAAAAGTCACGCTTAAAAAAGAAAGGTTCAAAACTAAATATAAACCAATCAAAAAATCAAAATTGGTGCACTTTGAAAAAAAAATATATTTCTCGTTAAAGTTTATTAATAAATAGTTATAAATTGTTATCAATGGTTATGGTTAGTATCACAGAACGTATTTCTTATTTGATCTTAACGTTAAGTTTTAGACTAGTATTCACAATTGGCTTTTAGCTATTAGTGGTATATGTACACAACTTAATATTAACCTGTTTGTTCAACTTTAAAAAATAATTAAAGGAGAAATAGTTGAACTAGCTACGAATAGTTTTGTTGTGCCCAAAAGCACCTCCCTCATCCCTGTCTGTCTATCTATTCGTTCTCAACCTGACTTTTCTCATTAAACATTAAACATAGGTCGAATCCTGATTCTAATTCTAATCAAGAAAGAATACTCTTGATTAATTAATATATGACGAGTTTTCCAACTGCAGGGTTGAACCATATAATGGAGTTGTTCGTCCTGGTCTTGTTCCGTACAACCGTGTACCACGCCCTGATGTACTCCCGTAAATAGGCGTGGCTCTTCCCTCCGGCCTGCCGCCGTACATTAACTCTGTTCTGGTCGACCGCTCGCTAAAGGCAGGGGTTGCCACCCGTTCTATTAGTGCTCTAGTCTCCGTATTGTTAATGATTGTATCGGAGTCGGAGCTATCCTCTTGCTCCGTCCCGAAGTGTTCAATATGAACCCTGAGAATGAAATCTCCCTCCTGGTCTGTGAGAAAGGTTGATGGAATTATACAATATTTTCCGACTGGAAGCCTCACCCGAATATTCGTTTCTCTTCCATCCTGGAATATCTTGTTTTAAATTTTATGAAACTATTGTTTACTTTATCATTCTTCCTCACTTCATCGTGAATTTCAAAATGAACGTGGTTTAAAGTAATCATCGTGCTATAATGTTAAATTAGCTGTACATTATTGCACGTTTGCTATAAAGTTTTAATTGGTTCCCTGATTTTCTCAAAAAAATTGAAATGAAAATAAAATTGAAATCAACTTTATATTTTGACTTCTGCTTTGTTTCAAAGCTTATTTGATCTAGAAATAGCCATTGAAATAAGACAAGTACACAAACTTTTCCTAAACTTACATACACTACAATTTGGCACGACGTTTTTTAGACTTAAATTTTCTCTATATAGCCTTTGTAGATTATATTTTGTCCCTCGCTAAAGCTCGGGATGAAATTAAATATAAAAAGACTTGAACCCTCTCGATAAAGAGAAAATTTCTGTCCAAAAACTTTATAACACGGCGAACCAAAATAACAGCTGTTATAAATAGTTATTATAAATTCAGTACCGAGCCTTTCAGGGTGTATCTTCTAATTTCTATTATTTCAACAGATTGTTTATTTTATTTAAATACTCCTTCGATGTCGTAATACCAAAAATTTTTTACTTAAGGTTTATAATTAGATAACGAGACTAAATTAAACTTAATTATTTGAAAAATGTTAATGTCTTGTACTCTGTAATTTTTAGCATTTATAAACACTGTAACTCATAGCGAGAAAGAAAAATATTTTAAAATAGTTTTTTGGCTGCAATTTTTTTTTTCTTAAACAAAGCTGAATTTAATAAACAAACCTGCCATGTCGGAGTTTTTGCAACAGCTTTGTGTCTTCCGTCGTTTCTACGGTAGGAGAAGAACTGACTGGTTAACTCCTCCGCATCCTTGTCCACCCTGTAGACCCTGAACCCAGTCTTGTTCACCCCCTTCACCTTACTGCCCGGCCTGCGCCGCTGCATGAGACTGATGACAGCGCTGCAAAGGTTCTCTGGATCCTCCAGGTTTGGAGATTTTAACTCTATAAAACATTGCGGATTCTTGGCATAGTTCTTAAAATCTCCTTTCTGGACCCCTCCAGCGTTTAGTCCGACCTCCCATCTTCCGTTAAAGACGACCTCTCTATCCTCGCTTTTGTTCACGTGGCAGAAGTCAATGGTGTCGAAGTATTTGAGAAAATCCTGAAACCCAATCCAGAATCCTCCATCGTGGAATGCTTCTCCGTCCAGTTCCCTGCGGGTGGAGTCCGGAACATTTGCCCAGTTTGTGTCCTCCGGAGACCAGGATCCAATCCACTGTGGATCCGTGCACCCAGAGCAGTTTTTAACTCTCACAATCTGACGTCCTTGTCCCAGATCTGCTACCTGAGTAATTCTATAAACATATCTGGGTTCTAATCCTAGCTCACGAGCCTGATCCTGCTCCTGTTGATTCTCTGAAGTTCTCACACTAAAACTCACAATTGGAATATTTCCGTTCTGGTTGCATCGCAGAATATCAAAGAATAACCGGTCAACCTGTCGTTTGTCTCCCTGGAGTAAGGATGAAATATGTTTGACCCTCTCTGGACACCCTCCGGTCAGCTCTATACACGCATCAATAGGAAGCCAATTGTTCAGCAGCTCATAGGTTCCTTTAGCTTTAGCATAGGCCTTCTCCAGTAGGGCCGGCCAGTACTCTACAGGACTGGTGGACCTCATGTAGATCAATTCTCCCTTCCTGGTAGGTAAAAGATCATCGATCACGATCTCTATCCAGCGACCAAACCAGAATCTGAAATGAAATATTCCTGCATAGTTTTCTCTCTCGGAGAATCCTTGATCTGGAGGAATCACGTGACGGAGCAAAGCATCACTATCAGCTATAGCACTAAATGCAGGGACAAACCAGCTGTCCAACCCTAGCTTAATATTAAACCCTTCATTCTTGTTGGAGACTAAGATTGGAATATCTGGTCTAGAAATGGCTGAAGGACGGAGCCAGACAATATCCCGTCCGTGCTGCTTAGATCGCTCCCTGAGAAACTCATCTCTGGGAAGGAACTCTGGATCTTCAAATAGAACGTTTTTCTTCAAACACTCATCTCTTAATTGCTGGAAATCTTGCTCATATAGGGATTCTATCTGGGTTGGAGAAACACTGCTTGAATCTGAGTCTGAAACCATCCTGGGTTTTGGGATCCACTCTCCTTCCTGCAATCTCCAGACTGCCAACCTACCTATACTTACCTATACACACACTAAACCTAGAAGTATTCAGGGTTGAAAACCAAACTATGGCTTACATTTATCAAAATAGATTAGGTAGATTAGTATTTCTTATTCTGGTTTTTAATGATAAGGATGGTTCTGTAATACACAAGATTAGAGTAGAGAAGAGTATATATTGCCCTGTAGTATTTATATGAGTGGGCTGAGATGGGTTTGAGTCAGCAGGAACCTGTTCTCAGGGTCCGTATTATGTATTGGACATTTACACGAGAATTCTACATCTGCCAAGATTAGAGAGCCAGGGAAACATACAGTCTGGCAATACCATAGAAATAAATAACATTCAATTTAATTGGAAAATATTTATTTTTCGCCATTATCAATTTTTTTCCGGCATGCTAAATCGTATTCATGCTAATACTACATAATACACCTGCATAATTTTAAACTATCTTGTTTTTTATTTGTTTACCACGCGTTGAGACTATAAAAGGTTTAGCCATAAAGGATGAGACTTTATTGACGACCTAAAATTCCTTAGGAATGACGTTTTGAAGGTTAAAGGTCGTTTTAATTTAAAAAAAAGTCTGACTGTAGAAAAAAGTCTAAATAAACTCCGCACAGTCGTCTTTGAAGTCTCCTTCTTTGTTGTAAGCCCAGTCATTTATTTGTACATATAACCACAAAGGATTCTTTTCGGTCTTATGTTTACTTAACTAGTGTAAATATTTGATTTATCTTGAACGAGTAATTTTTATGAATGTTTATTTATGTTTATTGTAATGTTTGGCTACATGGTATCAAGGTTGTAATGCAAGGAAAGTTAATTGCTGTCGCGTATGCTCTGCGTACATATTGAAACCAGTTCTCTCTGGGTGGAATTTGTAAACAAGAAAAGATGCATCAGTGCTCCTTTAGTATCCGAGGAGGATAAAAGCATTTAATTTTGATAATTTTGATAATTTACGTAATAGTTTCCTATGACCAGAATATTTCATTGATTTTTTATGTGAAAGATGGATACCATGTCAGGCTGTAACATCCGTCTTGTGTTTATATTACCGCCCATAGACAGTACACTGCATTACAAAAGATGCGTACAACTCTGAAATAACTTTCCTTGCATTACAACCTTGCATGGTATGAAGTTTTTATTATTTTGTATAATAATTCAATGTAAGTAATTCCTCTAGACTGCTCAAATAAAAAAGTTAAATTTGGAATTCTTTATGTAGACAAAATTTTAGAATGTCGTCTTAATCAGTCTACTTAATTTTATAAATTTCTATCAACTTTAGTTTTTTAGTATTTGTCGGAAAATTAATGATCCCATTTATCGTATTTGAATAAGTATAATCAATTTCTTGAATATTCTGATTAATATGAGCTTGGTTCCATATTACTTGATAATTTAGATTGTTTACAAAAGCAGAAATTGATATTCTTTTGAGCGTACACTTTTTAAGGAAAAATATGAACATCGGCATGTGTTTTGACAGTGGTCTTACATTGGGGCAAATAGCTATTAAGTTATTTGGCCCCGGCCAATGGAATTGAGTCTTTGCCACAAACTTAATATAATCCCAATATCTTTGCAACCTGATGATGCAAAGATATTGGAATTAGAAAATCAGAGTCTGTGACAAAGACTCAATTCCGTTCATGCCGTTATTTGACAAAAACTATATATGACAAATTTAGTGAAAAAATATTTTTAGTATTATTAGAACTGCATGCAAGGACGGGGGTATAAGGCTTATGTATACATTTGACTGGGACTAACTAGGACTACTAAAAACTAGTTTTATCAAAACAATAACAAAGATTGTAAACAAAGATCGGAACTTTCATTGGCAGGGAAGGAAGGTCGGGCTAGTTTAAATACGTCAGAGTAAATTGTACAAACCCCACCCTTATCCCCTACCTTTACTAAACATACTTCATGGTCAACCGAGGGGAGGAAGGCCACAACAATTATTCTTCCGAGCCACATTCTCCCCATTTTCTCGTCCGAGCCACCTCGGAATCCTCGTCCTTCGATTAGTTTGTGTTACAAAGTTTTCAATTCTTGAAGATTATACTATTTTTTAAAAATCTGGCCACGTTGTCGTTATGGCATAAAATATGGATGGACTAAAGTATTGCAATGATTATATCATGTTGAAATCTTCAAACCCATGAGAATGATGTCAAACTTTATTTAGGAAAAACTTAAATCTCTTCTGCCTCCGTAATGGCTAACCTTCATGATATAAAATAAATAGCAAATTATTCGGCATACCTCTGCCTTTAATTTTCCACATGGAACCACCCGGAAAAATTCTATGGTTTTCACTTTAGTTAACAAAAAAGATTGAAGCTCTGTAAACTTGGAATTATTTGCGGCATTCTACACAAGGAATATCTGAAAATGCGCGTAAAAAAAGGTGAACATTTTAAAGACATTAAACTTGAAATCTTTAACTCAATTGAAACTTTTTTTTTCGATTTACAAAAATTTGATATTTGAATTATGCACTAATGTGGCTTGATTCTTGAAAAATAGTTTTATCTGCAAGTATTAGACACTAAAAAAAAAGCAATATTGAAAGGACGAGGATTTCGAGGTGGCTCGGACGAGAAAATTAGAAGAATGTGGCTCGGACGAGGAATTGTTGCGGTTGGCCTTCCTTCCCTCGTCAACCTTATCATGTTATGGAAATTGTTTCTAATTTTATAATGGACAAAACTTGTTTGATTTGAGTTAAGAGGTGAGTTTGATACAATCACAATCATATTCATTGTTCAGTTTTTTTCCTACTCAGCACAAGGTTTACTATAAATTAATCATCGTCTCGCAAAGGAAAAACAAATGACGATTTTCAGAAATGTTGACCCCCCCCCCCACACCATTCCTCAAGCTGGATAGGGATAGGATGATAATTATTTACAACTACTTTAAAGGGAAGTTAAGGATATTTTACATCACCATGAGGGTTCCCGGGAACCCGTGGTTAAGTAAAATTTTTACTTTCCTGAAAAAGTATTTGTACACGATTTCATCTTCTTTTGTAAAGAAAATGCGTGAAATTTTTTCACTAAAAGTTCGTCGAGTTGTTATTTTACTTAATTCTCGCAAGGAACGTAAAGTAACTTGACTGAACGTCCATCTGATGGGAGAATCATAGGTCTGTTACCTTGGTAAAAAGGTAGTAAAAGGTTTTAAAAGTATATTGTTCAAAATATTTTTTTTTCTCCAAAAACATTTTAAATCATCGGTCTAAACATGCATCAACGGGAAATGATGAGTCCAATTGTTGCATGATCTGAACCGGTGCAAGGATTTACCGGTCTAGTGTAATCGAACTATACATAAACGTTTACTCGTACCAGCCCGCCTTGTTAACCCAGCGCGTTTTATGGATCAAATATAGGATAGCAGAATCCATGTGGGATATATACATTGTACAAGGAGCTGTACTGTTACATACAGGGAAATGTTGAGCTTTTAACACTATTTTGCGCAGTAAGCTTTTTAATTAAGACTAAATGGACTGTTGGGAAATTTGATAAAAAATTGTAAAAAATCATTTGGGAAAATTGAAGAATCAGTCACTTGGGAAGTTTCTCTTTGGAAATTATCTTAAGTAACTTAAAACGACATCATGTTGCTAAGATATAAGAACTAGAATATTTGAGTTTGAGACAAGTGTTCAGTTCCTTTTATAATAAAGAAAATCTTTGCAACAAACTTAAATTTTCTAATTCCTAATCTTTGCAACCTGAAATCTAACAGAATCCATAGTTTGAAATATCTAGGGTCTCACCACATTGATTTGCTAATATATAAGAATTAGAAAACCAGAGTTCATGGCAAAAACTCAATTTCTTCGTATCTATATAGTTCAAGACTTTTATGTTTTAAAGTATACATTATCTAGTTAAAGTTTAAGCAAAATCTTGAAATTTTATCCCATTATCTCTCTGTATAACTAAACGAATAAACGGATAGAGAACTTGTATATTTTTTGTTTTTTAAATCTGTCAGAATAAATAGAAAGATATGCATATAAATATTGATTATAATAAAAAAATAATGATAATATACTTGATTATAATCTAAGACTGCAGGATCCAGCACTGCTACTGGAGAAACTTCTTCTCCGTCCTCTCTCATGGGTAGCAAGGAGCACATCGCTATTAGGGATCGTACAGAGCACTTCACTCTTCTGGATAGGGCGATTAATATCACTGGCAGGAGTATTGCGCATCCTTCCTCTATCAGAGTAATTATGAAGATTATATTTTTCGGAGATATTATGGAGGTCACTTCTCTCGGAGCTATTTCGGAAATTATCTCTCTCGGAGTTATTACGGAGGTTATTTCTCTCCGAGCTATTAGGAAGGATTTCTCTCTCCGGCATATTACGAATCACATCTAAAAATATTTTATTTAATCATTGTTAAACTAATATTTCCTCAGTTGCTTTAATTTTCAATGATCGAAAAGACTAAGTTTTGTTGTTTTAAACTAAAATTGAACTAAGTACTTCGAATTCTTTCAACACATGTTTAGGATTTTTTTATTTGCATTTTTAACTTTCAATCAATGCCAGTGTTTCACATATTTTGAATTTGTTAGAAATAAGAATTATAATTACTAAAACCTGACCCTGGCTGGGACCAATTCCAGATGGTTTAAGAATATGCAGTTCTGAATATGCTAAATATTGTGGTTTATGCGTCAGCTTGACGTGGTTTTAAATTAGTTCTCCTGGTGTAAAACTAACCTGAGAACACAGGAGAAGGTTTCTTGTTTCTCGGTGGAAGAGGTTTTCTCTCCTGAGCAGGAGAACAACGTCTGTAGTTGGATGGACCTGGAGTACAAGAACGCAGATTGGAATTTGTAATACTGTGCGTAGGTTGGTTCTTGACTGGCTGGAATGAAATATGCCCGGAGCATGAATGATTTGGAGAATTTGCTCTTTGATTGATTCTGACTGGAGAGGTTTGTCTCCGAATTGATTGTCCGGATGAACTGGATTTAAGACTGATGAGAACAGGAGACCCTGATCTAGCATTAGTGACTCCTCCTCCTCCTTCCCCCCTGATATTACTCCTGGGCAGAGCTAGAATGTCCCGCCTGAAAAATTTACAAAGATAACATTCCGACTCCGTATAAATTAAGTTAAATATCCTGAACTGTAGAAAGATTCGATTAAATCCGATTATCTCCGACAATCTGACACATAGTTATCTTGTCAAACATCTTCATATCAAACACATATGTATACATGACTGAGATCAAAACTAAAATGTGAAAATGAAACCTGTAATACTGATTCTTTTCTTTCCGTCCCGCAGGGTAAGGTTCCCGTGATGGAGTAGAGAATCTTCCTAAATCTGTACCTAAAGCACCCCAACCTTGTCCTGGTTCCGGGACCCTGCTCAGGGTTCTAATTTCTACTTTTCCTGAGTGTTGTATTCTCCCTGAGTTTGGTAAACTAGAATGTCTGATGAATGCGTCCTGGAAGGAATAGTTTGGATTATATGATGAACCGTTTAAGGACGGATCCACTGTACTCATAGAATCTTGAAGGGTTTGGTTCTTTAAACTTGAATCACTCTCTTCAGAGAAGAAATTGTATTTTGATAAACTTGATGTTTTCTTGTGTAAATTATTCCTAAATAAATAAAAATTGTTCAGTAAAACTAATGACTTTTTTTAATTCATAAGCTGCAGGTATTCTGCATGGTAAAATTTTATTCCAAACCGAGCTGAAAACTATAGAATTGTGGATATCGAGTTAAATGCTTAACCTTTTGTTAATCTTCAGATCATTTTAATCTTTAGTTTGTGTTCTGGAAAGTTGCTAAAATTCAACCAATCAAAATGGTGTATGCAGATTTCAGAATCCCAACAGCCAATGAGAAGCCGGGAAATTAGTAATTTGGGTCGGAATCCAGTGGGGGTATCCAAAAAGAGGGAAAATATTGGATTCAGCGGTGAAAGTGTCCACAGTGGATATTCAGATTAAGCGAACGGTATTCAATTCTAAAGTTTTTAGCTCCGAACCTCAGACTATTTTTACTAATATGTCAACTTGAATAATTTCGACGAGACACATTTCAAGAAATTTCGACTTATTTATGTACGTTAGTTCTTTAAATAAAATATGACCTGTTATTGGGTTTTTTTTCTCCATATTTTGGTTGGGACATATGATATCGTATTTTATTATATATTTGTTTCCATTTATTTTCATAAAAAGATGTTTGCATGCTTTTTCAGTTTCAAATTTATTGAGAAAAACTTATATCTTTGCTGTTTTTTAATATAAAATTTAAACATTTTTAGAATTTTAAGATAGATTCAAGTGCAAGCTGTCATGACTATCATAGAAATTGTCCTCAACGTGTTTTAAGACATAAAAAATGTACTTTTTTTCTGACTGTAGATAGAATTAAGGGGTTCCGATTAATTTCAAGGTCACACTAACTTTCTGAATATAATATTATATATTATATACCTCACTCCCTCCTACCTATAAACTACTAGAATATAATATTATATATTATATACCTCACTCCCTCCCTCCTACCTATAAACTACTAGAATATAATATTATATATTATATAACTCCCTCCCTCCCTCCTACCTATAAACTGCTAGAATATAATATTATATATTATATACCTCCCTCCCTCCTACCTATAAACGACTAGAATATAATATTATATATTATATACTCCCTCCCTCCTACCTATAAACTACTAGAATATAATATTATATATTATATACCTCCCTCCCTCCTACCTATAAACTACTAGAACAATGGCAGCAGCTGAAGCAAATACAACACTGCAGAGGATTCCTTCAATCAAAATATATCTTCTATTATTTTACAAAAGTTTTCAAAATAACTTTAATTGGATAAAATGTGCTTACCATTTTAACTACAGTAAGAACTAGAAAACTATGAAATAGCAAGATGAAATTATATCAAGAAGTAAATGCATTTGTTGTTGTTAAAACCCAAATAGTTACCTATTACATCACTTGTATACACTACCTTTTTCCTGTGTCTCATTTTCATGGAACTATTATAAGTCATAATTTGAGTTTAACAGTCATCTTCCTATTCTATAGTTGTATATTGTTTCTAACTAGTAAAACATGGTAAAATATATTTCCTATCGCAATAGCGAGGTAAGTAGATTCGTTCCAATCCTCATCCTCCCCCGCACTCTCAGCTAGATAATATCCGTTCTCATTTACATCCCTAGCTTCATCCTTCAGCAAAGAAAAGAAGTTTCCTGAATTGTGAAAATTATATAATTTCATGGATGAAATGTGATGAACGCAGATAAAAAAAGAAAAAATTCTAGTCCACCATATTTTAAAATTTCATGACTTGACAGTGACTGCAAACTTTTGAAATGTAACAGAAACTATTTTTAAATATTTGTCAGGGCAAACCTGATTTGAAAGAGCATGCTTCAATTCACTGACTTAAAAGGGTTGAATTTATCGAGGCTTCAGGAATTTTTCCTTTTAAGAAATTAGTTGAAGGAGAGGTGGGAGGGTGGGGGGAGAAGGAGTAGAAGGAAATGAAACCGAACTTTGACACAAAGGAATACAACGACGTAGGAGTAGGAGTAGGAGTAGGAGTATTTGTAGGAGTAGGAGTAGGATTAGGATTAGGAGTAGAAGTAGGAGTAAGAGTAGGAGTAGGAGTAGGAGTAGGAGAAGGGGGAGAAAGCCCAGATCGGAGCTAAGTAATTTAATTTTTAAAATCTAGTAGTTAGGATTGAGCTCAGGTTAAATTTGCGAAAAGATAAGATTAAGATCTGGAGATTAGAAAATATCTTCTACATATTACACATTTAGTTTAATTAACTGAATTCAATTTGTTATTCAAAATTTAATTTACTTGTAAAATAAAAGGCTAGATATGGTTGATCTTGTTTATTATTTATACCTGGATAAGGACAACCCTTGAGTTCTACCCGTAAACAGACAGTTCTTGGGTTCAGACTAAACGGAACTATTCTAAAACAATATTAGAAATTAATATAAACTAAAATTATGAAATTACTTATCTAAAACTCTATAGTTCATCTATTTTTGGAAATGATTAACGTGTTGCCTTGTAAAAATAATAATTAACATAAGAAAAAGAAACCCACCACTTCCCTTTTCTTCCTGCTCACACCTCTCTTTTCTTTTCTTCCAATCCATTCCTCCTCCCTTTCCTCCATGCTCCCCCCTTCACTTTTTATCCTTCTCACATACCCCTCTTAACACCAGTTATTCACAACACCCCTCCTCTTACCATCCTTCCTCAACACCAATCCTTCCATCACCCTTCCCCCCTAACTCCTCCCATCCTTCCTTAGCATCCCTCATTCCATCACCCTTCCCCTAAACACCCATCACCAGTTTATTTTCTTTCATTGATAACTACAACTTTATGAAGGATTGTTGAGAAATCAAGTTTATCCAACAAGATGTTCACAAAAAAAAGTATCCTGTCCCTTTAAAAAAAAGTTTTTTATAGGAACCCTGTAGATCTATGGTTTCATAATAAATTTGAGAGTTGTATATTCATAAACATTTTTTAATCTCCCTGTAAACAAATTCATTTTAGTTTTAAATATGTTCTAGTTGGGTACTTCACTGCAAAATGTTTTGCTAGAATGGGTTGCACATTTAACTTTTGCAAAAAATAATTAGTTTATTCATAAAGTTCAGAAGATTAGAGTTCAGAAGATTAGAGTTCAGTAGATTAGAGTTCAGTAGATTTGAGTTCAGAAGATTATAGTTCAGTAGATTATAGTTCAGAAGACTAGAGTTCATGAGATTAGAGATTAGAAGATTATAGTTCAGTGGATTAAAATTCAGGAGATTAGAGTTTAAGAGATTAGAATTAAGGAGTTTAGAGTAAATAGATTAGAGTTCATGAGATTAGAGTTTAGGAGATTAGAGTTTAGGAGATAAGAGTTCAGGAGATTAGAGTTCAGGAGATTAGAGTTTATGAGATTAGAGTTTAGAAGATAAGAATTCAGGAGATTATAGGTTTGGACATTAGAGTCTATGAAAATTAGAGTTCAGAAGATGAGAGTTTTTGAGATTAGAGGACAGGAGATTTGAGTTCAGAGAATTAAAGTTAAGAAAATTAGCGATTAGGAGATTTCAGAACATTTTGGTTTAGTAGATTCGAGTTTAGGAGAAAAAAATTTGCTAAGATTAGAGATTTGAGGAGCAGAGTTCAGAAGTATAGAGTTAAGAAGGATTTGATTTTAAAGATTTAAATAGATTAACGTTTCTATGAAGAGTTGAGGAGATTAGATTAGAGTTTAAAAGAAACTAGAGACAAAGAAAATTACAAGATAGATAAGATAAAAGAATGAAAAGAGACGAGGAGTAACTGAGAAAGAAATTTATATCAATGTTTAACTACACTGTTAGAGTTTAGATTATAAAACATATTTTTTCATTCATACTTTACATGTGTTAAACAAATCTTAATGATATAAACAAAAACTTAATAAAACTGTCATTCGTCTCCATTAATATTCAACTCTGATAGTTTTGCACTCTGGAACTAGATTTGAATTTGTTAAATAAACTCGGGGTTGAGTTTTCTTAACAGGGTTCAAATAGCTTACTGGGGGTTATTAGATCTCTGTTTTTGTTGATTAAGTACTATTGATTGATTAAGAACTGACCTTAGTTTAGACGCAACAATAACCTTTGAAAGGTTGTATTGTACAGGCTGGAAGGTGTTTTTATTCCCCTCGATCACGCTCACACCGTTCTCCTCCGTGTAGGTTGTGAAGGACGGGTTCGGACTCCTCCAGTACTCCAGGGTATAGTACTCAGCAAACTCCTGGCCTAGACCATTCGCAAATCTACCCTGAGTTACAATTCCACTGAATCATCAATAAACTTCATCATTTTTTTTTTGGGGGGGGGGTGGTATTATTGAAATTAACAAAAACTAAAGCTAGAACAGACACTTTGTGAAGAAACAATCTCAAGAACTGACGAGGGTCAAACCAGACCGAAATATATTTTCAATAAATGTGGAACTAACATCTACTTTTTTACTCTACAGAGGTTTGGTCCATCACCATCACCGAATTTTAAACAATAGCGGATAACATGATAACATAATGATAACATAAGTTTCTCAGTGAATTCAGATTTGCTTTTCAATTGTTGTTTTCTAGTTCTTGATGTACAATAAGATAAATCTACGAAAGAATAACAAGTTAGCTAAATGTCAAAACTAAACAGTTTTTGAACAAAAGATGCCCTGTTGCAAGCCTAGTCCTGTATACTTCATCAACGTCAGCTTTTTGTCAGTTCAAAATAATTTAAGTTTGGTTTTAATAATCTAAGAATAAATTTCGTAATCTTAAAATCTTTAAAATGATGTTTCCCTGATAAGGTAATCGTCTCCTAGATCTATTTCAAGATACTCCTGTTCTTCTTTAGAGTTATCTATCAGGGTTCTAGGACACCAAGCACCACCGCCGCGCTCTGTGTGAAGACGCGCGTTGCTTGCTCCGGTCAGGTTAGGCTCGTATGAGCTTGAGGAGCTGAGCTGAGAATCTAGTATTCGTCCGTCCTGCATTCCCAGTGACCTGGAGCAGTTACTGGAAATTCCAATCCCTGCTCCGCAGTTCCGGAGAATATATAAAATGATAAAAACTTCTCCAATCCATCCTTTAATCCCGGGGAATTGGAGTCTTTCCAGTTTTAACATAGTGACAGTTCTCAGTATTGTTTTATTAACTCATCTGAAATAAATAAGAATTCCAGGAAACATTTCCCACTAATAAAGATCTAATAAAAAAATTTAGTTTTCAGGAAATGACAAAGTAGGCAGAGAGAGATTATGGAGTACTAGGATTTTGAGCGCTTTGCGCCAATCCTCTATTTCAAATTTTAATTGGGGCTCTATCTATAAGCATCTTCTCTGTGTACAATTTAAAACAATAACAAAAAAGTTCTTGGATATGGTAATATTTTTCGCGCATTTTCAAAATTTTACAAAAATAAAAATCTTTTGAACACGAACTTTTGTAATTTTAAGCATCCAGAGCTGAAAACTTTAGAATGGGATATCCTTAATCCTGATCGGATAATTAATCTGGAGATTAAAAATGAGAGGAGAACAACCAATATTTAATCTTGAGATCAAGAAAAAGAGTGGATTAAGCATTAATCCCGATATCCGCCATTCTAAAGTTTTCAGCTCTGAGCTGGGAACTTTAGAATGGCGGATATCAGGATTAATGCTTATCCTTCCTTTTTGGTAATCTCAAGACTAACATAATCTCAAGATTATGTTTGTCTCGAGATTAGATATTCAGATCAATAGTTAAATTGGTTAAAAAAGAATCTTAAACGTATTATTAAATATTTTTCTTCACCGATTAATTTACAAAATGGCCGACAACAAATTCTTAATTTGTTAGCACTTGCGGATTTCTCTCATGGGATAGAATTTATTTTCAAGGCTGTCATTGGTCAATACAATTTACGAACTATATTCCTGCACTCTCATTGGAGAAAACAATGTTCGGATAATAGATATCTAAAGAGAGAGAAAAAGAGTGGATTAAGGACTAAAATTAAAAATTTCCACAGTGGATATTCGGATTAAGATTAAAGTTCCCAGCTTCTCCGGGGTCATGTGAGGTCCCTCACAAATTTTGGGCACGATCGGATCAGCCGTTCGGATACAAACGTACAGAAAGACAAGCAAAGTATATATACATTTAGATGGAGAGAGATTATAGAGTTGGAAAAGAAAGATGGTAGTGTAGGGAAAGAAATATTGTAGAGTAGGGAAAGATTGTAGAGTAGAGAAAGCAAGATTGTAGAGTAGGGAAAGATTGTAGAGCAGGGAACGAAAGATTGTAGAGTAGGGAAAGAAATATTGTAGAGTAGGGAAAGATTAGAGAGTAGGGAAAGAAAGATTGTAGAGTAGGGAAAGAAACATTGTAAAGTAGGGAACGAAATAATTGTAGAGTAGGGATAGCAACATTGTAGAGTATGGAAAGATTGTAAAGTAGGGAAAGAAACATTGTAAAGTAGGGAACGAAATATTATAGAGTATGGAAAGAAATATTGTAGAGTAGGGAAAGATTAGAGAGTAGGGAAAGAAATATTGTAGAGTAGGGAAAGATTGTAGAGTAGGGAAAGAAACATTGTAAAGTAGGGAACGAAAGATTATAGAGTATGGAAAGAAATATTGTAGAGCAGGGAAAGAAAGATTTAGAGTAGGGAAAGATTGTAGAGCAGGGAAAGATTAGAGAGTAGGGAAAGAAAGATTGTAGAGTAGGGAAAGATTAGAGAGTAGGGAAAGAAATATTGTAGAGTAGGGAAAGAAACATTGTAAAGTAGGAAAAGAAAGATAGGAGAGTAGGGATAGCAACATTGTAGAGTAGGGATAGCAACATTGTAGAGTAGGGATAGCAACATTGTAGAGTATGGAAAGATTGTAAAGTAGGGAAAGAAAGATTGTAGAGTAGGGAAAGAAAGATTGTAGAGTAGGAAAAGAAAGATTGTAGAGTAGGGAAAGATTGTAAAGTAGGGAAAGAAAGATTGTAGAGTAGGGAAAGATTGTAAAGTAGGGAAAGAAAGATTGTACAGTAGGGAAAGAAACATTGTAGAGTAGGGAAAGAAAGATTGTATGAGTAGGGTAAGAAATATTGTTAAGTAGGGAAATATTGTAGAGTTGGGAAATATTGTAGAGTAGGGAAAGAAATATTGTAGAGTAGAGAAAGAAATATTGTAAAGTAGGGAAATATTGTAAAGTAGGAAAATATTGTAAAGTAGGGAAAGAAATATTGTAAAGTAGGGAAATATTGTAAAATAGGGAAATATTGTAAAATAGGGAAATATTGTAAAGTAGGGAAAGAAAGGTGTGATTAAAAAATTATACTATTTGACTTCTCCAAAATTGTCTAACTCCGATAGAAAGAAAGCTTTAAACGCTTGAATTCTAGTTTAGGGGTAAATATATCTGTTTTTCATTCAGGGAGCCAATTCTACAAACATTCAAAAGCACTTTAAAGTTGTTAAAAAAAATCATAGGAATTAAATTTTTGCCCCAAACTCAAATTTTCTAATCACTTTATTCTTGCAACCTAATGGTGAAAACCTTTGATATTTCAAACTTATCTTTTGATCTGATAAAATTCATAGTTTGAAATATCACAGGTCTACGATATTTGGTTGTAAAGATAAAGGGATTATAAAATCTGAGTTTGTGACGAAAACTCTCTCTTGTAAACAATTTAACCAAAGTCAAAATATTTCTAAGCATTTCCAGGAAAATTATTACCAAGCATAATTTTATATCCTGTTTTAAATGTATCTAAATAAAAAATATCGTTAAAATTAAAAATCTACAGAAGGAATATAGATTATGTATATAGTACTGTAAATTTAGAATAAATAATAAAATAAAGAATATGTGTCAAGTTTTCACAAACTAAATAGTATCCGGGCACACATACACACTGCACAGTTCTTTATTGAACCCTGAGACGAGACTGAACTCGGAACTCAGATCTTGTATGCGGAGAATATAGAGCGTGCTCCTCAACCCAATCCTCCAGGTGCATCTCATAACTTTACCGCCGACCCGCCGCACCGGTCAATATGCGTAATCAGTTGCTTAGCTCTCTGTTATTAAAATGAATCTAGTAATCACAATATTGAATTTTATTCTGTACTCATTTTTGAACTATTGTAATCACTCAAATAAACCAGTAATCTAAATCTGTAATGAGATTTTGAACTATTGTAATCAGACAAATAGACCAGTAATCTTAATTTGTAATAATTTTTGAACTACTGTAATCAGTTAAATAAAAAATTAATCTTAATCTGTAATCAGTTTTTGAACCCATGTAAATCTGCCAATTTACGCAAATCTTACAATAAAATCAGATTTGGAACTATTGTAATCAGTCCAATAAACCAGAAATCTTACTCTGAAATCAGATATTTAACTATTGCAAAATCAGTCAAATAAACCAACAATTTTAATCTGTAATCAGTTTTTATACGATTGTAATCAGTCAATTAAAACATTGAATCTTAATCTTTAATCAGTTTTTGAACTAGTGTAATCAGTTTAGCAGGATAAAACAACTGATTAATTTACTTAATAACAACATCAAGTAGACATAAGATTTATGAAATGTCGTCTTTCTATTCCACTGTTTTACTGATAAACCCATACTTTAGACTTTCTCAAAACATTGTGAATCCCCCCCCCTCCGTCTGATCATATATTACTGCTTTTTTCAGGCTTCAAACTGATTAAATAAATCTCTGTAACTCTGTACTGCCGAGCGTACCAACAGCTTAGTCGAGGGTGCTGTCTAATAATTGGTGAAAAGAACTTTATCAAGTTGATATCAAATTATTCAGGATCTGAAAATCTAAACTTTGAACTTTATAAAATAAATGAGGATATTTTTTGTCCATTTCTTCACTCTCTAGTTTAATCTCAGACATTTTGATAAGTGGGTTTTCTGAAAAATTACGTCATTTGCATTTATTGGTGCGAATAGTTGAATATGTATAGCAGGTTAATGGCTAGATATTTAGTTCGTTAGTTAGATAGTAAGTTAGATGGCAATTAGTTAGTTCCATGGTCAGTAATTTAGTTAGTTAGTTTAGTTAGTTAGTTAAAAGATTAGATAGTTAGGTTAGTAAGTTAGTTTTACTGTAGGGTAGTTGGTTATTTAGACAGTTTAGTTTGTAAGTTTGTTAGTTTGTTAGTTTGTTAGTTTTATTACTTTGTTTGTTAGCTTGTTAGCTAGTTAGTTGTAGTCAGATACTGAGTTAGTTTGTTATGTTGTAAATTTGTTAGTTGGTTAGCTAGTTGGTTAGTTAGTAAGTTTGTTAGTTAGTTAGTTAGTAAGTTTGTTAGTTAGTTGATTAGTTAGTTTTTTAATTAGTTGATTAGTTAGTTTGTTAGTTAGTTGATTAGTTAGTTTGTTAGTTAGTTTGTTAGTTAGTTTGTTAGTTAGTTTGTTAGTTAGTTTGTTAGTTAGTTTGTTAGTTAGTTTGTTAGTTAGTTTGTTAGTTAGTTTGTTAGTTAGTTTGTTAGTTAGTTTGTTAGTTAGTTTGTTAGTTAGTTTGTTAGTTAGTTTGTTAGTTAGTTTGTTAGTTAGTTTGTTAGTTAGTTTGTTAGTTAGTTTGTTAGTTAGTTTGTTAGTTAGTTTGTTAGTTAGTTTGTTAGTTAGTTTGTTAGTTAGTTTGTTAGTTAGTTTGTTAGTTAGTTTGTTAGTTAGTTTGTTAGTTAGTTTGTTAGTTAGTTTGTTAGTTAGTTTGTTAGTTAGTTTGTTAGTTAGTTTGTTAGTTAGTTTGTTAGTTAGTTTGTTAGTTAGTTTGTTAGTTAGTTTGTTAGTTAGTTTGTTAGTTAGTTTGTTAGTTAGTTTGTTAGTTAGTTTGTTAGTTAGTTTGTTAGTTAGTTTGTTAGTTAGTTTGTTAGTTAGTTTGTTAGTTAGTTTGTTAGTTAGTTTGTTAGTTAGTTTGTTAGTTAGTTTGTTAGTTAGTTTGTTAGTTAGTTTGTTAGTTAGTTTGTTAGTTAGTTTGTTAGTTAGTTTGTTAGTTAGTTTGTTAGTTAGTTTGTTAGTTAGTTTGTTAGTTAGTTTGTTAGTTAGTTTGTTAGTTAGTTTGTTAGTTAGTTTGTTAGTTAGTTTGTTAGTTAGTTTGTTAGTTAGTTTGTTAGTTAGTTTGTTAGTTAGTTTGTTAGTTAGTTTGTTAGTTAGTTTGTTAGTTAGTTTGTTAGTTAGTTTGTTAGTTAGTTTGTTAGTTAGTTTGTTAGTTAGTTTGTTAGTTAGTTTGTTAGTTAGTTTGTTAGTTAGTTTGTTAGTTAGTTTGTTAGTTAGTTTGTTAGTTAGTTTGTTAGTTAGTTTGTTAGTTAGTTTGTTAGTTAGTTTGTTAGTTAGTTNCGGAAAATGTCGCTTCCTAAGATAGATAGATAAATACCCAATATGACGTCATTGATTATAGAGGCGAGAGAGTGACGTCATATTGGGTATTTATCTATCTATCTTAGGAGACGACATTTTCCGTACATTGGAGCACATGGAGAGTAATTAACCTTCTTATACAATATACTGCAATATTTACACACATATATTTATTGTTCTTATGTTTTGTTAATATCTGTAATAGTTAATATATTATTTTATTTGATATTTATTTAAGCAAATCATTGGGTTCGGGAAAATGTCGTCTAAACTTGTACACTATACATTGTACATTGTACAATATGATTATTATAAAATAATAGGGGTCAATATTTTGTAACCGCATTTCAAACAGACATTAGCTAGAGTTTAGATAATTAATAATAATATTTTTTTCATTTTTGTTACTGATCGAGTTCAGCTGAAGTTTTTGTTTACATATTAAAATCACAAAAGTCAGAATTTTATTCAATAATATCTTTTGACTCTTTGGACCTATATAATATGATTGAAAATGTGTTTTTTCCTCGATATATCAACCAACTGCAACATTCAGTCTTTTTACCAAAAATAATTTAATTTCTTTATTTTTAATTCCAATATTTTTCTAGACCTACTGCTATAAACCTTTTATATTTCAAACTTTCATAACTTGATCTAGTGCAAGGAATTATATCCAGGAACGCCCAACTTAGACAGGCCCGTAGCCAGGATTTGTCCAGGGGGGGTGCAATATGACGCGCCGGAGGCGAAAATTTTTTTTGAGGGGTTCTTTGTTTGTTTGGTTTTACAGTGGTATATGGTTGTTTTTATTACATTGTAAATGCACACTATAAAGGCTAACCTTTTTAACAAGTGTATTTGAGCTTTTAAGGGAGTACTGCTTAACTAAAAGAGGCAAGTAATCATNGTCGTATAAAGGATTAATTACTCTCTGATATCCATGGTTTTAGGAACCCAGGAAAGGGATAACTATAAAATTGAGGTTGCAAGCGAATTATCCTGTAATCTAAAAGTTGTCATATTTGAAATAGACTTCAAATGTTTAAGAAAACCGCGTGCTATTTTACACAAAAGTTTTTCCTCTTTTTTATTTTTGTTGTTTCAATTTATTCCTAACAGTTGACATCAGTGTAATTGATTCTGTTTCTACGCGCATGGATTACACCAGCTATTCGACAATTGTTTTGCTTTTTAGAAATCGTCCTTGAGCTGTTCTGCAGTTTTTTTTTAACAATTTCTCCATTCATAACAATGAAATCGTCTCCGAATTTTAAAAGTTTAATGAACACATTGTATGAAAACTGCAGAACTACTGAGAATTCAATTTTTAAAAATCTAAAGAATTGTTTGTTACAACGTGATGTTGAAGGTAATAGAATATTTAGATAGTTTTGGTTCGGTTCATGAAAAAAAAAGGCAGACTACACTTTCAAAATACCAGAGATAGAGATATTAGAATCACAAATAAACGACTATGTATAGAACGAAGAAAATTTTTAAGTCCTGACTTGATTGTCACGCTTTCTGGGAATCCCAAAGCTTTTCACAGGTTCAGAAATATAATAAAATCATATATTTTGAGATTCAATACAAATTTTTCTTTGATTTTTTTTGTGTCATGGAACACTTGAGATTCATAAAATATCACATAAATTAACTAATCCCGATCCTTCACCTTAACTCTAAAACCTGGACACTACGCCTGGTTGGTTGCTGTGGTTGGAGTTGTCTCAGGAGGAGTCTGAAATGTTGTTGTTGTCTCCTCAACCTTTGCTGGTGGAGAACTTGATGTGCTTGTTGTGGTTGGGGCTGGTGAAGATGCTGTGGTTGTGGGTGATGTTGTTGTTGTTGTAGTTCCAGTTGTTGTAGGTTCTGTAGAAGCTGTTGTGATTGTTGTTGTGGTAGTAGTCGAGCTTGTTGTAGATTCTGGTGTTGTAGTTGTTGATGTAGATGATGTTCCAGCTGTTGTAGATGTTACAGGTGTGTTCTCAGGAACAGAGGTTGAGCTAGGACGTGTTGCATTCTCATGCAGGACAATATCCATTATACCGTTGATAACCTCCGCAATAAGTTCCTGAGGAGTTGAATCTCCGGAGCATAGATCAGGATACAGAGATACAAACTTATCCTGCTTACAGAGCTCTTTACATAAATCAGCATGTTTAGATCGGAACTTATCTTTAGAGCACTTTAGCTCCAACCAATCCGGATCCTCGGCTTTTTTCTTCAGTTCTACATTCTCTTCATCCATCTCCTCATTCTCATCATCAGCTTCTTCGTCAACTTCATCATCTTCTGCCTCATTATCTTCGTCATTTATTTCCCAATCTTTACATTGTTCAGGATTGTGTTCTCTGTATTCCTCTAGGTGACAGTTCTTTGTAATATCAGATTCAATTTCAACACATCTCTCCAGGTGTCCAGCTCTGTACTTGGGATTATTGCATCTAATTCTCAGCTCAGGATCCTCATTCTGCTGCCGACACCTCTCCGGGTACTTGAGCTTGTACTTTTTCTTCCTGCATTTATCTTCAATAACATCATCGAGGTTCACAGATCTGTTAAACTCTGCGCACTCATCAGGGTTCTCAGAGTTATAATTAGGTTTGTTGCACTTGTTCTTTTCAACCTTGCCATCCTTTTCCTTGTTCTTATGCTTACCCTTCACTCCTTTCACCTTGTTCTTGTTTTTGCTTTTGTTTTTATGTTTGCCATTTTCTTCTCCTTTTGTCTTGTTCTTATTCTTGTTCTTTTTCTTGTTTCCCTTCTTGTCTTTCCTGTCTCTATCAGTGGCCCCAGTTTCTGTCTCATCTACATCTTTCAACTCACTTTCATTTTTTTCAATTTTGCTACACTTTTCAGCATTCTTCTTCCGGAATCCAGCCTTTTTACATTTTGCCGCCATATTACCCCGCCCTTTCTTCTTCTCCGCTTTCTCGTCACTTTCTTCTATTCCTGATCCCTCTTCATCTTCATCTGCAGAACCTTCAGGTTCCTCGCTATCTTCATCCACGACATCTTCACTTTCATCATCCTCTCCAATCTCCTCCTTCATCTCATCAGCATCATCTTCCTTATCTTGTTGTGTAGTATCTGTAATCTTAGGACCTAGTTTACAGACTTCGGAGTTTTCAGTTTCAAACTCAGATTGGAGACAGAGCTGAGAGCAGTACTGATAATTATTCTGGAAGAATTTTTCAGTTTTACATTTGTTATTAATCCATTCTTCATCTCCGTCCTCCAATCCACATTCTGCTGCATTACTGGCTCGGTAGAGACGACTTTTGCACTGTTTAGGAGCTGCAGTACAATCATTCCTATTCGCTTTCCTAAAGCTAGGAAGCTTGCAGTTCTTTAGTAGTTGAACTCCGGTATATCTCTCAGTAGTAGTTGTAGTAGTAGTAGTGGTTGTCGTTGTTGTGGTGGTAGTTGTTGTGGTCGTGGTTGTCTCTGATTCTGAGCTCTCGGAGCATTGAGCACACCCATCCGCATTATTTCTGGCAAAATTTGGTTTAGAGCAAAGATTACAGTTTATAGATCGCTTAGTAGAGCAACCCTTGCACAGTTTTGCATGCTCCCCAGCAAACTTCTCATCTTTACACTTCTTGCAGTTGTTAACCCTTCTCTTCTTATTCGCAGTCATCTTTCCTTTTGAAGATTTTGATCTATTCTTATCATTCTCAGTCGTCTTATTATTATTGTTCTGCTTCTTTTTCACTTTTTCATTCAGTATTGCAGGTTGAGATTCTATGTCCTCAGACATTCTCTTTTCTACAGAAGAAGATTTCTGCAAAAAGAAAAGTTAGATTATTTTAATTTCCTTTTCGTTTAAATTTGGTACTTACAAGGTTTCTTCGACCCAGTCTATCTACAGACTCCTGGAGTACTTGTACAGGAATATATCCGTCCAACTCCTCAGCAACAGGAACATATTCTCCTGTTAATGCAGTAGGTGTAGCATCTCTTCTTCTCCTAAACAACTTATATTAAGAACAGGAACCAGTTCCTGCATTCTACTTGTAAAAAAGTTACCCCACTCTTTTTTGTGTCCTACATCAAACAAAGGTTACCATAATCTTGTTTTTGTGTCATACATCAAATAAGGATTACCATAATCTCGTTTTTGTGTCCTACATCAAATAAGGATTACCATTATCTTGTTTTTGTGTCCTACATCAAATACGGATTACAATAATCTTGTTTTTGTGTCCTACATCAAACAAAGGTTACCATAATCTTGTTTTTGTGTCCTAAATCAAATAAGGATTACCAAAATCTTGTTTTTGTGTCCTACATCAAATGAGGATTACCATAATCTTGTTTTGTGTCCTACATCAAATAAGGATTACCATAATCTTGTTTTTGTATCCTACATCAAACAAAGGTTACCATAATCTTGTTTTTGTATCCTACATTAAACAAAGGTTACCATAATCTTGTTTTTGTTTTCCTACATTAAATAAGGATTACCCTAATCGTGTCATGTATCCTACATCAAATAAGGATTACCATAATAGTGTCATGTATCTTACATCAAATAAGGATTACCATAATCGTGTCATGTATCCTACATCAAATAAGGATTACCATAATCGTGTCATGTATCCTACATCAAATAAGAGTTACCTTTACCGTTTCGTTGTGTTCTACAGCAAATAAGGATTACCCTAATCGTGTCAAGTACCCTACATCAAATAAGGGTTACCTTTACCGTGTCTTTGTCTCCTACATAATATAAGGGTAACCCGATCCGTGTCGTTGTGTTCTACATCAAATAGGGGTTACCCTAATCGTATATTAGTGTTCTAAATAGCGTTACCCTATCTTGTCTTTAAGGTTTACCGTACTCCTTTGATGGTGTTCTTAATCAAATTTAGTTTACCCTACAACTCTGAATGTGTTCAAAGCCAAGTAAGGGTATTTATAATAAACCTTTTATTAGCAAGGCGTCATTTAATAAAATCAAAACCGTATACTGCCCTTTAAATTCAATATAATTTCTCTCACTTAAACAGTTTTATAATTTTTTTAGTGACGTACCTTGGTTTTGGTTCCAACTTCCCTTGAACCTTCTTGACGTTAAAATCAAACTGGTTAGGTTTTTGGCTTGGAGGTTGAGGATGGTATCCCCCTTGCAGAAGATGAGGAACCTCAGGCACATAATCCTTTGGACCAAAAAATTCCATGTTTTGGTTTCCGGAGCCGTCAGATGGAAACACAGGAGTTCTGGATTCAGGTTCAGGATTGTAGAAGCGCTCAGGCTCATACTGCTCATACTCCACCCTAGTTTCATCCTGCAGACCATTTTCAGGTTCATCACGTCCTTGTTCCTGAGAAAAATACTCCAACATTGCCTGAAATTGTTTAATACAATTAACATTTAGGTCTTTCATTATAAAAAGTAGGAGTAGAGAAAATAAAAACAAAAATCACATAATATTTACCCTCTTAGCTTGTGGGTTCTGTAGGAGAATGTTTATGACTTCTTTATCCATAAACTGTGGTTTCCCATCAAGGTCAAGTCCGTACTGGAGAAACATATTCTCTTCGGGTTCTATCCTTTCCTCAGCTGGAGAATAGACTGGTCTAGATTCAGATGAATAGGCGGAGAACTGAAGACCGTTCGTAAAGGGAGCAGGTGCTGGAGCTGACTCCTCAACCTCTTCCTCCTCCTCTTCTTCCTTCTCATCAACTCTCTCCTCGTCCTTCTCGTAATCATCGTCATACTCTTCAAAGTCGTCTTCCTCAATCTCAATTATTTCTTCAATCTTCATCTTCTTCTTGTTTTTGTTCTTTTTATCCTTGTTCTTCTTTTTCCCATTCTTCCAGCCCCGGGATTGATTTTCAACTTTCTCCTCCACTTCTTGGTTCTCATCTAGTATCTCTGCAATAAACTCTAAGTTTTCTGATTCCTCTGCAATAAGATCGTCCAACTTCTCCTCAGCCTGTCTCTTGAAAACATGGTTCTTCAAATCTCTATCAAACAGCTGGTTCCCTTCAACCTCGTGCAGTTCGTTCTTTAATTCCGGAAGATCTCTATCAGCAGAGTCGGGAATCTAAAAGATAAGTTCAGTTTAAAGTACATAATGGTAAATAAAAATCTTATGCAATTAATTTCAATAAAGGGACTCTGCAAGCGTTATTTTGATTTAGCTCTCCATTCAAAAATAGCAATGCCTGATTCACATTGTATCCTTAAAACCACAATCGGATTAAAACTGTGAAAGATAACGCCTGGTTTCTGTCTTGAAAACTGTTTTTTTTTTTCTGTGAATTTCTCAATTGGTTCCCAAAAGCAAGAAATGCAGAGAAACCAAAAATGAAAATAAACAGTTTATATAAACAAAAACATGGATATCTAACTCACATTTGATCATAAAACACTTTTAAGGGCGCCGTTGTAAATCAAAGCATTGCGAATAAAACATCGATATTACAGATTTTTTATATGAGATTATTGAGTTGAAATGCATTTTTAAACTTTAAACAGTAAGTCAGTTTTTTACTCCCATGCATGCAACATGTATCTTGTTTTTGCATTTAAATTTCATATTTCTGAATTCAATATTTTTTCTAGGCTTTGGACATTCAATACCGCGCGCAATACAATAAAGATAGAAATTTAGAAATCATTCAAATTTGAATCTCTCACGGCCCCAGGCTCCTCCCCTTTTTCCTTGGGCCTCCCCCCCCCCCTCTGTGATCCTGTGGTCTGTAGGGCTCCTCTAGTTCAAGTATCCTATGACCTGACTGTATCCATGAGTACCCTGAGCAATGCAGGTTAAACCCAGGGGAAAGTTTAGTTTCAAGTATTTTAGATTCAGTCTTGTCTTGGAGAAAATATTTAATTGTTTAAGTGTCTGAATACAGTTGGTCCCAAAACATGACCAAAAACATCACTTATTTTTGAAGCTATTTGCACGTGTGTCATACTTTGAACTAAAAACACCAAAACACAAGAGCTTATCATTTTGAGATTTCTATTATGAGGTCTGCATTTCACGTACACAAAAAAAGAAATTCTGTTCAAATAAAGTATAGACCAAGATAAAAGATGATTTTAGAATATCCATGTTTCTACTTTAAAAATCTCATCTTTTTGGTATTTTTTCCAACATGTGTTTAAAATGTTGTGTAAAGCAGTCATTGAATGAAACCGAGGATGGTTGCAGAGAAAGTATTAAATTAGAACATGATTAAGATAGATTAACAGATAAATAACCTTATTAAATTTAACGTGTTTGAGTAGCTCTGTAAGTATCTGATAAATTGAAAGAACCGGCTCCAAGGGAAGATTTAAAACTCTCTAAAAGGGAAAGTGAATCTTTAGGATAGATTAGGGTAATCCGGGAAACCCATCTTCAAACCCAGGATCCTACTCTCAAAACCCAGGATCCTACTCAAACCCAGGATTCTACTCTTCAAACCCAAATTCCTGCTCTCTAATCCGAGGATCCTACTCTTTACACCCAGGATTCTATGCTCCAAACCCAGGATCCTACTCTTCAAACCCAGGATCCCGATTTTAAAACCCAGGGTCCCTATCCCCAAACCCAGGATCCTACTCTTCAAACCCAGGATCCTACTCTTCAAATCCAGGATCCTACTCTTCAAACCCAGGATCCTACTCTTCAAACCCAGGATCCTACTCTTCAAACCCAGGATCCTACTCTTCAAACCCAGGATCCTACTCTTCAAACCCAGGAGCTTACTCTTCAAACCCAGGATCCTAATCTTCAAACCAAGGATCCTACTCTACAAACCCAGGATCCTACTCTACAAACCTAGGATCCTACTCTTCAAACCCAGGATCCTTCTCTTCAAATCCAGGATCCTACTCTACAAACCCAGGATCCTACTCTTCAAACCCAGGATCCTACTCTACAAACCCAGGATCCTATTTGTGTTCTTTTATCTTTTAAATGTTAAGTGCTTCAGCTTCTTTATAAAGAAATTAGTTTTCGAGAACGTCAAGGTATTTTCAGGCTTTTTAACGTTTAAAAATATTTGAGATGAATCTCACCTTATTAAGTTCAGTTATGAGACACAGAACAAAATGGTCCAGGCTTGCTAAAGGATTTTTACTATGCTTTGTGTACGCTGAATCTTTACAGTGTTCAAGATCAACCTGGAGATTCGTCTTTTCTCCGGTAGCCAGGGAAAACAGGAGCCCTGCTCCAAACCAGACAATAAAAAACATTCTCAGGTTTGAGTAATCATATATGATCTGCGGGTTCAGGTTGATAACTCTTCCACTCTCCTCGTCCTTCCTTTAACTGTTTAAGTGACCTAGTATTGGGTGGAAGCAGTATCCTATTTTACGTGCGCGGAGAGAGCGCGTCCAGGCAAGAAAATAAGGATAAGTTAGATACCGGGGAACCGATGGGGATGGGGGGGGGAGACAAGGAGCCCAGTGGCCAGGTTAAAAGATGCCTATATTTTCATGCATCATTTTATATTGGTTAAGTTATTTTATGTTTGAAATTGGATTTGTAAGTTTATAATAACCTAATACACAAATAATACATAAGCAGAGTGAGATTTGCATACAAATGAATGCAAAAATTGCTCATGCGATTCTAACAGGAGATGCAATCTTATATCTTTGAAATTTTTACAAATCAATTAAGAAAATCTTTAGATCGACCTCTCTAGTCATAATTTATTTTGCAGATATTCAAACAAAAGGAACTGAGTTTGTGCCACAAACTCTAATTTTTTAATCCCTATATGTCGTAGACTTTTTCATATTTTAATCAACGAATTTTGTCAGATTGAATATTATAAGTTTAAAAAGTTTACACTATCAGGTTTTAAAAATATAGGAATTTAAAAATTTGAGTTTGTTTCAAAAACTCAATTCCTTCAAGCAAAGTTTGAATATTAAGTTGAAACCGTGATGCAACTTTGATTCTTAATCCCCCCCCCCCCCCCGAGTCACATGTATCTGATATATTAAATTGTAATGTTCTTCAAAAGGAAGAAATTTGTTGATGACGCAATTTTAGTGGGAATTTGGTTACTGGAGAAAATACTAGGACAGCTACATATCCTTACCCTGACGTATTTGTCATAACTATTTTAAGAAGTTAGATCCAAATGTGTTCTCTCAGCTTCAGTTCAACCATTTAGAGGTAAAACAAGCAAAGCAGAAGGATGCATTGAAGCTGATGTTGCTGACTGGTTGATTCTGGAAGAACCTGCTCCTGGTTAGTTATATGGTTTAGTAAAGGATCACGTTGACCCATTTGATTGGTCCGAGAGAAGTAGGATCACGCTGACCCATCTGATTGGTCCGAGAGAAATAGGATACCTCTGTTGCTGACTGGTTGATTCCTGAAGAGCCTGCTCCTGGTTGGTTATTTGGTTTGGTAAAGGATCACGCTGACCCATCTGATTGGTCCGAGGGGAGTAGGATACCTCTGTTGAGACCAGTAGAATCAGCCTCTGGCACTACCTTTGAAAATGCATCACATTTTGTTGACATTCATAGTAATGCTCTAGTTAAAAACTTCCGTCGGAGGACACTCCAGAAATGGTCCGAGAGTTTGAAAGAGGAATCATGAATGGTCCCCAACCTGCCAATACTATCCCAGTCACTCTGAATGTTACAGCATTGTATACAAATATTTCTTTACAGGAAGGAATAGATATATTCAAGATTTTTCTGGACTCTAGAGAAGAGAAAACAGTGCCTACAAGTTTTTTGATTTGTTTATTAACCCTGGTTTTAACATGTAATATCTTTGTATTTGATAATGTGTTTTAAATACAAATGATTGGCACTGCAATGGGGACACAAGTAGCCCCTACTTTTGCCAGTTTGTTTATGGGTTTTATAGAAACTGAGGAATCCAGCCTAGGATGTGGAGAAGGTATTTAGATGATATTTTCTTTTTATGTAATGGTACTGGATCGGACTTTAGGAGTTTGTAGACAGCCTCAATAAGTGCCAATCCTCTACTAAAGTTTAAACTCAGTTACAATCTTACAACTATGGAATTTTTAGATACAGTTATTTCTATAGCAGAAAATGGTTTCATAAAAACTACGTTTGCACCAAACCAGGAAAAAGTGTAAATATTAATTACCAACTTCCTGCCATCCTTCTCATATCTGGGATCATATCCCATATCAATTAACCTTGAGATTAAAACGAATCTGCAGTGAAAATGAAGATTTTTTGAGCCAACTGTCTTTACTCAAAGATAAAATAGTATCCCGAGGTTACAGATATAAAAGTATTCTATGTGCATTTGAACGTGTAAATAAACTAGACAGATCAACTGCCTTGCAAAAACCTGAAAAGAAATCAGTTGACAGAATAGCTTTACCGGTTGTTTTTGTTTTTAAGTTGTCATTTTGAAGATTATTAAATTTAATTCTTATTTATCAGATTTTGATATTTGAGTCGAAATATTGTGAACATGTTCTTTTTGTTTACATTTTTAAACAAAGAAGAAAAAATTTTGCGGATTTTTAAAAGAAATTCGCGGATTTTCAAGAATTTAAATTATTTTACAAAATCAAAAACCTTTATAACACATTTTTTTTATCATTCATGAACCTTCCCTGTGGTCACGTGATGTCCCACAAAAAATTTGGGCCCGATCGGTTCAGCCGTTTTGACCTTTATTGGATACAAACAAACAAACAGACATTCAGACAGACAAGCTAAATTTATATATAGACTAGGCTTTTAGGGCGCTTTGCGCCCATATTCTATTTAAATTGTGAACATGTTCTTTTTGTTTAAATTTTAAAACAAAGAAGAAAAAAATTTTGCGGATTTTTAAAAAAAAATTCGCGGATTTTCAAGATTTTTTTTTACAAAATTAAAAACCTTTAAAACACTTTTTTTAAAATTTTGATCATTCATAAACCTTCCCTGTGGTCACGTGATGTCCCACAAAAAATTTGGGCCTGATCGGTTCAGCTGTTTTGACGTTTATTGGATACAAACAAACAAACAGACACCCAGACAAGCCAAATTTATATATAGAAGATATCCTGAACTGTATTATTTCCAAGTTTGGTTGAGATTGATCTATACTTATGAGGTGAAAATATTTATTTCAACATTTAATCAAAATAAGTTTTATTAAACATGATTTCTTTATTCTTCTTTCAATTAGAATATCAAAATATTCAATATAATGTAAATTATCATTAATAACTCTAATTCATAATGGTTTAGAAATGAATTCCAGATTTATTATTTTTCAGGTGCTCTCCTTCATACAATGAGACCCATACAACTAGGAAGACGATAGTTTAAGTATTAGATCCTGTTTTATTAGATGTTTAAGTATTAGATCCTGTTTTATTAGATGTTTAAAACCCAGCTTATTAAGTAAAATGGTTTTGATTTCACCATTTCTGTTCTAAATGTTCATTGGATAATTCAAAATCATAATTTAAGTCTAACAGTCGTCTTTTTATTCCAAAGTTTTCTGGGACTAACTGTACAGTGTACACTATAATTACTCCTCTGTAGATTTGGGAACAGAAACCTGGTTCAATATTCCTTCAAGTTTCTTCACCTAGAATAAGAATTAACTATTTATTTATAAAGTAGTAATCTCTGTTTGTCTGTGTTTTTTGTGTGTTTTATTTTGATCTGAAGAACTCTAGACTGATATGCATCACGTTTGGATACAGAACTCGGTAGAACCACGGGAACGTTCTTAGCGTGGTTTAAAATTTTTAGGTTGAGTTGGTCAACTGTTATTCTGGGCAAAGCTTGGTTATATTAAGTCCTAAGATTCTTTTTTGATCAATTTTATTAAATTTTACATCTTTCCGATATGATGATGTAAATTTTTCTTATTTAAAATTTAGACTATGAGACGAAAAAGAATACATAGGATGAAATATCCGTTTGGATGAATTTGAGTTTCGAGGCAGGTGGTTAATTACTTTGTAAAGTTTCTAAAAAGGGTTTTTTGAATTAACGGAACTGCTCTGGTCTCTTTCAGGCTCTGAAGGTTTGACTAACAAGGAATGGGGTTACCTCCAGGCAAAAAGAAGCTAATTTTAACTCGCATCAATGGATTTAAATCAATTCTGTTCACTTAATGTTTTACCTCTAGTTTGTAAACAAGTCCTAGATCATTATTTTTTAAAGCTCTCTTAGAATCTTTGGACATTCTCCTAAATAGCATTTATTATGTCCAAACATCGATTATGGGAGATTTTTAGAAGAAAAAACACATTTTATTTTAGTAAGAAACATATTTTTTTAATATGAGTGGGTGCCACATGTGTTTCCTCAATGCGTGTCCTCAATGTATGTCCTCAATGTGTGTCCTCAACGTGTGTCCTCAATGTATATCTTTAATTTTTCTCCTCAAAGAGTATTGTCCTACATGTGTTTCCTCAATAATTGTCCTCAATGAGTGTCCTCAATGTGTGTCCTCAATGTGCGTCCTCATTATTACTGCAAATGAGTTTGCACAAGTGCGTCCTCATTTGGTACAGAGAACGTTGATAAATGTTATCAGCTAAAAAATGTTATCAGCTGATAAATGTTATCAGCTGATAAATGTGACATGATAGACTAGAGTGACTAGAGTCCTATATTTCTGATTCATGTATATTGTTACAAATCTTTGCAACATAATGTGGCATATTTTTGAAATTTCAAACTATGAATTCTGGTTTAATCAAATAATTCAAGTTTGAATTATGAAAGGTTAACATCATTAGGTTGCAAAGAAAAACAATAGAAAATTAGAGTTTGAGGCAAGTTCTTTTAAACATTCTTGAAAAGGTTATGAAATATTCTTTAGTTAACAAACATAGTTCAGATTTGAAGGTCTATTTGGTGAAATTTTAAAATACTAGGAAAATACCAAATATATAGATATATTTGTACAATTTATGAATGACCAACCAACTATTCTATTGTTTTACTCATTCTTTGAATATTTTAACAATCTGTGGTTTAGCTAGGTCCAAGTTTCTCCAAGGATAAGTTAAACCTACCTAACCTATCTCCGAACCTAACTCTTTCTTAATTAGTATGTAAATGTGAAGGTTGTACAGAGGTAGGGATTATTATATCGCTTAAAAGTCAGATAACCTACTACATGTACAAAAACATCAATTGTGTTTTCAACCTTTCAATATTTGGTCCGAAACTCCGTATTGTTATTGTTGCCATCGATTCTTTGATTAAAGAACTGATAAGATGCAATTTTTTAATAAGACATGTTTAAAGGCAATCTTCGAATGCCATGTTTTGAATTTTATTACATTTTTGTGTGTCATCTCTGGCATGCCGTCAATAAGATATAAAATCAGATGTATTTTGTTATTATTATCAAATATATTTAGGATATCTTTATCAAAATTAAAAAATTCCCAATTCTGTAAAAAGTTAAATAAGTCAAACTCTTGTATGCCCTTTTATGAAAACTTTGTGATAGTTATAAAATGTTTAAATGGAAAATTAGTGAAACTTTATAAACCTTGAAAAAAGTTTAAATAAATTGAAATATTTAGGGGAGAAGGCTAAAAGAAAATTTACCTCTAAAGATAATTATCAGAAAGTGAACTGCAAAGTTTGCAAAGGTTTTGTAAACGCAAAAAAACTAATCAATAATTGAACACAGTTTAAAAACAAAACAAAATAGAATAAAAAAAACGGAGGTTTAGAGAAAGTTGAAAAAACCTAAGATTTAATATAATAAAAAAAACTATCTCTAGGGAGATCTTCAAAGTTAAATGAATCTACCCATTATTTGGAAAAAGTACGAAAAAATACCTCGATGGAGAAAATTGAAAAAAAAACCTAAAGCTGGAAAAAGTTTAAAAAGAAAGCTACCTAATGTTTAGAGAAAGTTTAAAAAGAAAGCAACCTAATGTTTAAAGAACGTTTAACAAGAAAGCTACCTAAAGTTTAAAGAAAGTTTAAAAAGAAAGCTACCTAAAATTTTAAGAAAGTTTGAAAATAGAACCACCTAAAGCTTGAAAAAGTTTTAAAATAAGACGCATAGTGTTTAAAGAAAGTTTAAAAAGAAAGGTAACTAAGATATAGAGAAAGTTTATAAAGAAAGCCATCTAAGATTTGAAGACAGTTTAAAAAGAAAGCTACCTAAGATTTGGAGAAAGTTTAAAAAGAAAGCTACCTAAGATTTGGAGAAAGTTTAAAAAGAAAGCTACCTAAGATTTGGAGAAAGTATATAAAGAAAGCTACCTAAGATCTGGAGAAAGTTTAAAAAGAAAGCTACCTAAGATTTGGAGAAAGTTTAAAGAGAAAGCTACCTAAGATTTGGAGAAAGTTTAAAAGTATGAGAAACTCCTCTACTATCTCCAACTAGGAGAACAGGATCAACTAAACAAACAAAAACATCTCAGCAGAGATGGAAACTTTTGAATAAGATGAAGCTAAGCTACAGCGGTTGGGGATTATATCAATACAATCAAGACGACTTTTAAATAATGCTTTGATCATAACAAGCATTTTTCAAATTACAAGTTTACAAGTAAACAAAGAAAATCTGTTTTCTGATAACTTCTCTGTGTTTAAATCTTAAAGTTTTTCTGCTGCTTGAAAGCTTGGTGGAAATCAAAACTAAAACTAAAAGTCGTCTTCATTATATTGATATAGAAGACGATGACTGTACACGAATTTGACTTAATATCCTTAACGGTCAGCTACAGGGTGTCCCACGAAACATGACAATAAGAAGACGACTTGAAAGTCGTCTTTGGTATTTGAATTTATTTGTGACATTTAGTCTTCTATCTACTTTAACGTGCATGATTCTTGAAACAATTATCACATAATTCTCCTAGCCCTGGCATTTCCAAAAAGTGGTCTGCGTTTTTTGTGCTTTCAATATTACCGGAGATATAAAGAGTTTGGTTCAGATTTCAATTTTGTTAAATAAAAGCAAAATTGTCGAAATCTGAACGAAATTCTTCATATCTCGGGCAATATTGAAAGCACAAAAAAGGCAGACCACATTTTGGAAATGGCAGGACAAGGGAAATTTTGTGATTATTATCTCTAGAAATTTACTTCTAAAATTAGATTGACAAATAAACGCAGCAAATTATATCAAAAATCAAGACGACATTCAAGTCGTCCTGCATACTGTCATGTTTCGTGGGACACCCTGTAGTTCAATGGAAAATTAAATTCGGTTTCAATTCTGACTTCTGATTGGTTTATCGACGTTGGAAATATTCGGACATTGTTCACAAATTTTAACCAAGAAGATAGGGGTTAAAATGGACAGTTTTAATAATAGAATTAAATGGAATGCTTGTAATTAAAAAGGAAAACGCAAAAAACAGGAGAAAAGTTTGAATATTTATGTTTAATAGGTCAAATTGTTATCGAAGTCACAGCTTACAGAAACGAGGACCAAACTGTTAAATCAGCTTAATCCTTTTAATTTCTATGACTTTTGAAGTTTACCGATTAAGTAGCCCTACGCGACGGTTGATCTATATTGTTAGTAAAATCCTAACGTATTCAACCAATCTAAATCGACTGAAGGCCGTTCAACCTATCAAACACTCTGTAAAAATTGGATACCACTGATTTATCCTTAAAGGCTAGATATACATTGATGTTCTGGGACGAATGATTTAATGAGTTTGAGCCAGGTCGCTGAACAAACTACCTCCTTATCTGTAATGCTGACATGAAGTTTACATCTAAAGGACAGGGAAAAATCCTGAATCACCGATTCAAGATACGTGGTTGAACCGTCTCTAAACCTGGCTCAAATTCATTGAATCCAGTCCTTTGTAAAACTGTAATTAAAGGAAATAATCAGAACCAACCCTACCTTTATTAAATGTTACATGGTTCAGGATTGATTTCTTTTTCTGTACAACACTCTGGGAGCACAGCGGAGAATATTTGCTGAAATATTTTATGTTAATTTCATCTTTATTCTTTAATTTCATACCCTACCTGATAATTTGATCCAACCCTACCTGATACTTATATCCAACCCTAACTGATGCTTACATACAACCCTACCTGATTCATTAATCCAACCCTACATTATACTCAGATCCAACCCTACCTGATACTTATATCCAACCCTACCTGATACTTATATTCAACCCTACCTGATACTAAGATCCAACCCTACCGGATACTCGAATCCAACCCTACCTGATACTAAGATCAAAAACGTGAACTTTCCCGTCCTGAGTTACAGCAGCAAAGACCGTACTTGAGTATGGAGCCCAACTTATATCATTAACCTAAAGATAAAAATAAAACATAAATCTATATATATATCTATCTTTTTGTCTGTTTGTTGGTTTGTATGTCCGATCAAGACTTATGAACCGATTTGCCTCTAAATTTGATTGGGGAACTCAGTAGAACCATGGGAATGCTCTTGGCTTGGCTTTAGAATTCTAATTTGAGCGAGTTTATTTTTAAAGATACAGTTTAGTTTACAGGCAAAGTTGGGTTCCCAAGCTAGTATAATATAAAACAGGAAACAAAAATGCAGAACTGAAACCCAGAACAATATACTTGTCACTGCAGTTACATTTTCTTATTAAGGAAGTGTTCTTTTAACAATTTATACTTAATAGGGAAACTGCAAAGACTTTGCTAATTAGCAAAGTCTTTGGGATGGTGAGGGTGTTCTATTCAGCAAGGATTTCTAACACCAATTTGAGATATAGAATGTACTGGGTGAAGTGAGAAATGTTTCACTACCAAATTGGGTTAAATTAAATTCCGTCATTTTGTTCGCGAAACATTCTTAAATCTTAAAATTAAAAATTTCGATGACTTTTTCATTTAAATTGGCGAATAAACAAAAACAATAATATATTTGCGGATAAAATTTGTCAACTTCGATTGGTCATAAACCTTCCCTGAGGTTGTGTGAGTTGCCACACAGAATTTAGGCCGAATTGGTTCAGCCGTTTCAAAGTTTATCAAAGACAGACAAACAGACAAACAAACAGACAAAGAAAATATGTTTAGATAGAAAGTACGCAATAAGATCTTTAAAACATTGAAATGTATGTGAAAGACTAAAAATTATGAGACAGTTTTTATATTTTCAATTCTCTATCAATATTTCAACCCGGAGCTTACCTGGGATCCCAGATCGAACCTGAACAGAGGTTTCTCACTCTCCATTTCCCAGAGTTTAATCACCATCTCGGATGCACAAGAGAGGAAAACTTTTGGAAGATATCTGTTCCATTCAAGGTTTTGTATCGGAGTATCGTGTCCAGGATATCGCATCAGAAACTCAGAGGAGTACTTGAAATAAGAATATTTTTAAATACATATAAATATAAGAAAATAAGTATTCAAAACATGATTTGAAGTTTTATTGCATCAACATTATGTTTCATGCTAGGCATTCTTCAGTATATATTTATATATTATATATATAATATGTAAGTAAATATGTATATATATGTATATTTTCTCTTTAAAGGGACTGTATGTGTAATTTCAAGGGACTCTCCATGCAAAGAAGGGAGTGCCCGATTAAAAAGTTCCCTTTAAAAATCATATTGCGTTATTGAGTGAAGAGAACTCCGTGTGGACATCTCTAAAATGGTGTTCAAATTGACATGAAGCTTGAGTGTACGCTAGGGTGAACTCGAATCAGCTCGAAAATCAAGAAAATTCTATGTACCACAATCTTTTTAAAAATTCGAACGTAAATATCTATTTTCATCGATTTCCATGTGGTAAAATTTGATATTTATTAATTACGAAAACAGATTGGACTGAAAGTGATCAACAATTACAAGCATTTTTGTAGATAAATAATTATAGGTCCGTCATCCTTAATAAGTCAAAGATTTAAATGGTACTATTGTAATTAACATGGGAATTTAGTGACGAATTGGAAATCACCTTTTTAAATAATTCTTTGATTTAGTATAGTGATACCTACTGAGAAAGCTGTTATCTGTAAGAGTTTTGTCTGCTATGTTCATATTTTGTTTGTTTATATTTTGACTGCATACGTGGTTGTAAAACAAGAAAATTACAGTATGAAAACAGAGTAAACCTGTCCGTCTTCACTGTTTATCTTGCGGAGACATTATAGACATATCTTTACAGTCTTTTACCCTTTTCATAAAATAAACTCTATAATATTATGGCTTTTGAAATTAGGTATTTCAATGCTAATTCATAACAAAGACGATATCGAATTCGTCACTGAATTCCCATGTTTTTTTGGGACACCCTGTATATCGGATATCGAGTGGGAGTTGAAATTACTCCAACAGTCCCTTTAAGAAGAAGTAGTACCTGTGTTGTTCCCAGATAAATCATCCCGGATTCCGTCCCAACTACAAAAATATTCTCGTCGTCCTTCTTAAAGGAAAATGCTCTTCCTCCTAAACAAATCAGAGAAGAAGGAGAAAAGTAAAACATGGGTTTTTAATACTGTAATATCATAAGATGCTTTTAGATAATTCGCTCCAACTAGTTGGAAAGCATCTTTAACATCAATAGAAAAACAAAGTGAATATTAGACAGGGTTTTAACGTGACAGATATTCTGATATCTTGAATCCTTGATCTCGATATCCAAAGTGGACACTTTAAATTTAGGAATCAATGCTTGATTCTTAAATAAAATTATCCCTGCAGTGCAGTGCATAGGGCCAAAAAGTTGCATGGTTTTATATTCATATGCATTTTGTTGTGCAATATATTCTTTAATATAACAATATTAAGTAAATAAACAATAAATCAATGGAACTACGCATGTCTATGCAAATATGATAAAACTCCAATGGTCTCATGTCGTGCCTGGTATCCGAGATTCACAACATAAACGTTTTCACTTTGGAAAATGATTATATTTTTTTAAATTTAATATTTTTGACAATATTTGGGAAAATAAAGTAGAACATCTTATCTTGACAATTATGAAAAAATAATAGATAAAATAAATCACAAGTTGCATTTTGTTTAAGATTCTAGACTTTTAAATAATTTTACAATCATTTATGTAAATATTTACTTTGTGCTAATCACATAACAGAAAGTCAAAATATTCTTTTTATTTTCCTTTTAGATTAAAAAATTGTTAGGAAATCTTTTGTTAGATTTTTCAAATGTTAGGAAACTTTGGTGAAAGTAAGGCCAATTTTATAGAAACACTTTCTTATCATAAAACAAAAATTAAACATCTGGATAATTAATAAAGTAAACTTACCATCATGAATGCATTCTGAAGAAGAATTGATGTCTCCAAAATTGACAAGTTTTTTAGAGAACTTAATTCTTGTAATATCATTAAACCAAAGACAGGTCTTCACTAGGGTCCAGTTAGTTACTCTTCCATCCCCTGAACATATAGTTATTACTCTTCTATCCTCTTAATGTTGGTTTAGTTACTATTCCATCCCTAGAAAATTTAGTTAGTTACTCTTCTATCCTCTTAATGTTGGTTAGTTACTCTTCCATCCCCTGAACATTTAGTTAGTTACTCTTTCATCCTTTAAACATTTGGTTAGCTACTTTTCCATTCTTTAAACATTTGGTTAGTTATTCTTCCATCCCCTGAACATTTGATTAGTTGCTCTTCCATCCCCTGAACATTTGATTAGTTGCTCTTCCATCCTTTGAACATTTGATTAGTTGCTCTTCCATCCTTTGAACATTTGATTAGTTACTCTTCCATCCCCTGAACATTTGATTAGTTGCTCTTCCATCCATTGAACATTTGGTTAGTTACTCTTCCATCCTCTGGTTTGGTTAGTTGCTCTTTGTTTTGAAACAAGATATTAGCAGTTAGGTTATTAGGTTATTAGCGAAGATGACATCTTTATCTTCCAATTTTAAATACGAAATATTTCCTAATCTCTGCCCCGAGATAAAGACAGGAAAGTTTTAAAATGTTTGTTTATTTTACTAAATGTTCCTTAAAGTATGTTCCTGGCATTACCTGAGACGGAGTTAAAGTTCAAATATCCATCAAGGTTGTCTGAGGCCCATTCTACCTATTTTAAATGCTCTGAGGTTGTAATCAATGAACGAGAAAGAATTAGTTGAACTAACCACGCTTGGTTTAACAACTTGTCGCTATTCATAAAATAAATCTTTTTTATATATAGATCAAGGTCAATATAAAGGTTAAGGTCTATATAAGGGTCATGGTCAATATAAGGGTCAAGGTCTATATAAGGGTCAAGGTCTATATAAGGGTCAAGGTCTATATAAAGGTCAAGGTCTATATAAGGGTCAAGGTCTATATAAGGGTCAAGTATTGGTTGAGGTTTATTTGAAGTATTACATCTAGAACTTTGTTTAGGTTTAAATCTAGATTCATTTCTAGGTCCCGATAAAGTCCATGTCCAGGACTATGTCCAGGTCTAGGTCTAGGTCCCGGTCAAGTCCATGTCCAGGACTATGTCCAGGTCTAGGACTAGGTCCCAGTCCAAGTTCATGTCCAGGACTATGTCCAGGTCTAGGTACAGGTACAGGTCTACCTGACACACAGAGTCCTTGTGCTTTCCGTTTCCTGGATCCGAAATATACATTGGAGCAAGGTTTTCTCTCTGTAGGTTAAACACACACACATTCCCGTCATACAATCCCACAACTACCATGTGGGGGTGTGCAGGATGGATATCCAGGCACATAGCTCCACTAGGAGTAGGACGGATGTACTCAGGGTAGGACGGATTCTTAAAATAAAAGTTAATATTATCAAGATCATCCCAAAAGTTATATATTTCTTAAAAATAAAGCATGTTTATACTTCTCGTTGTGGAAAGAAATTGAGTCATTGTCGCGAACTCAAATTTTCTAATTTCTATATTTTCCAACCTGATGGTGTAAAACTTTGATATTTTAAACTTTGACTATTTGATTTAGAGTAGAATCCATAGTTTTAAATATCTAAGGTCTACAAAATTGGGTTGTAAAGATATAGAGCTAGTTTGCGGAAAAGACTCAATTCCCTTACTTAACAAAAAGTCTGTATTTTACTTAAAACATTTTTAAACAATTAAAGATAGAAGATAGATTAGTTTAGAAAAATGGAGAAAAAAATATTTAAAAAAAACATTTAAAAAAAACAGTTAAAAAAGATTAGAATAGAAAAATGAAACCAAAACATTTTTTAGTTTAAAAATAATAGGTTAAAAATAAGAAATGTATTTATGTAAAATTTTGAAATTAAATTTGAGATTAAACTGAATGAAAAATCCGGATCATAAGTTAAGAGAGGGGTAGAGGAAGATACCTTGAGACTAAAGAAGCAAATAAACCCAGTTTCAGGCTGTTCGTAGAAATCATATGAACCGTAGCTGACGGCGAACAGATCTCTGTATAATGGATTCCAGCAAACACTGGTTACATCTAGACTCTACGAGAAGGTAGAAGTATTATATAATTTGTTAAATAGATATTATTAAATAGATAATTTGGATTTTTGTAAATAATAACAACTAGCTGAAGTGCATATGTATACCCATGGTCCAACTGTTTAGCCATGGGTATATTTCACATATATAAATAACAGAAGAGCTTTATTAAATAGAGAAACCCAAACCCACACTTGGTGTTTAAATTATGACGAAGAGAAAAGGGTTAAAGAAACAAATTAAAGGAATTTTACTATGATATGCACAACACCTTCAGATATTTGAATACTTAAAGTTTTGAAGTTTATGAAGGTTTATCTACCTGGGTTTATTGGTTTATCTACCTGGGTTTATTGGTTTATCTACCTGGGTTTATTGGTTTATCTACCTGGGTTTAAAGGTTTATCTACCTGGGTTTATAGGTTTATCTACCTGGGTTTAAAGGTTTATCTACCTGGGTTTATTGGTTTATCTACCTGGGTTTATTGGTTTATCTACCTGGGTTTATTGGTTTATCTACCTGGGTTTAAAGGTTTATCTACCTGGGTTTAAAGAATTATCTACCTGGGTTTAAAGGTTTATCTACCTGGGTTTAAAGGATTATCCACCTGGGTTTATAGGTTTATCTACCTGGGTTTAAAGGTGTACCTATCTAGGCTTAAAGGTTTATCTACCAGGGTTGAAAGGTTTACCTACCTGGGTTTAAAAATTTATCTACCAAGGTTTAAAGGTTTATCTACCTAGGTTTAAAGGTTTGTCTACTAGGGTTAAAGGGTTTATCTACATGGGTTTAAAGGTTTATCTACCTGGGTTTAAAGGTTTATCTACCAGGGTTGAAAGGTTTATTTACCTAGGTTTAAAGGTTTGTCTACCAGGGTTGAAAGGTTTATATACCTGGGTTTAAAGGTTCATCTACCAGGGTTGAAAGGTTTATTTACCTGGGTTTAAAGGTTTATCTACCAGAGTTGAAAGGTTTATTTACCTAGGTTTAAAGGTTTGTCTACCAGGGTTGAAAGGTTTATTTACCTGGGTTTGAGTGTATGTGAATTTCCAGAGTGGAAGAAGAGTCCCTTCCTTGTCTCTGTACTCATCAGATGTATCCTCCCAGTACCTGGATACGGAGTACTTGGGATCATGTGTTCAAAGGTATAAAACGTACAACTTATTTAATATAAGTGCGTTCTTAGGTTTAAAAAAAAAATCTTTTTGGGAGCTTTACACTACGTTTTGACTTCATTTCTGATCGAGAATACATTATGTAGATGTGTACAACTTTTTTTTTATTATTTTATTGATGCATTTAAGTATTGAGTTGCTGGGGTGCGTGTTTATCAGGTTTTAATATTGCAGAGTTTTTTTGTCACGTTCATTAGATTGAACACAAGGATAAATTCTTTCTAGGGTTCTCACGCATAAAGGGTTCTCTTCCAGGAACCACTCATATATGGGTTCTCTTTCAGGAACCACTCATATATGGGTTCTCTTCCAGGAACCACTAATATATGGGTTCTCTTTCAGGAACGCACATAGGTTTTATTTTTGGAGATCTTTATGGTTTATCTTTATGAGTGATATCTATATCTGTTTTGTGAGGTGCGGGGTTTGAACCCGTGACTTCCAGTGTAGACATCAATCCACTTTCTGGTCGCTGGAAAGTGTGCTTAAAGGGAGTGTTTGCGAAAAATGAAAGGGGGTATAGGGGCGGCTGTCAGCAACTCTCGCAGCAAAAAGGTGCGTTCATTCTACACAACAAAAAAGAAGCTTTAAGTGGATTGATCCAAGTGAATGATGATGAAGAAAGGAAAGGTGGACAAGCAGGGAGAGTCTATGGCTGCCAGCTATAGGTACCTTGGGTTATCCAATCCGGGCTTACAAATGATTGGGAGCAATGAGTGTGATGTTTCCTGTCTATGGCACCCGGGTCTCATTCCAGTATATCAGAAGAATTCCTGTACTCCATTATTCTCAGGCCTAAGAAGCCCTCAGGCAGCTGGAATCTTGTCAACCTTCTTCTCAGTATGAATGAAGCGTGAACAGATGAATGTGCTGCCAGATTACAACCCCTGGTAGATATAAACCCATTCAACACCAAACTTTCGCAATAGAAAAATTCCGAGATTTGATCGCAAGAACCCGATCATGTCCTGGGGACGAAAAATCTCTTTTTATATGATCTGAGAGTCACCTTTAAAAACATTTATTCCTGTTTCGAGAATTTTTGATAATGAAGACGACATTTTCGTATTTTCCAGGAATGTTCAAAAATCGATGATTATAGGTAATATCTGAATGATTTGTTTGGAACTAAATTGATTTTTTACGATCCGAGTCGAATGTTTGTGAATTTGTATGGATGCTACGTTCTTGAGTATGAGTCGTTTTTAACAATTTTCTCCTTATAGACGCAACAGATAGAAGTAAGATTAGCAGCGATCAGCATCGATAATTTTTCGCCGTATGCTTATATATACCCCTTTCATTTTTCCCAACGAGAACTAACAAGAACTGGTCTAACACACTTACCACCCCACCCCACCCCACTCCAAGAAACCCCACAGTGTTAGTTTAATAAATTCACGTTTTGTCATGAAGAACATACAATTAAACAAAAAATGTCCAAGATAACCTGTAATCCTGAGCAATTTCATCAAAAGTATTCTGGTTTACCATTCTCTCAAGAATTCGTGCTAAACACAGAAGAAGACAATTTATTTAAGACAATGTATTTTAAATATATAAAGTTTGGAATGTTACCTGATTTTAACATTTTCTTGGTTCTCTCCTCTAAGTGAGATGTATTCTGAACCTCGGTAACTATTTTTCTTGGAGCAGGTTCAGGTTCAAGTTCATGTTCACCTTCTCCTCCCGTCTCATGCTCCTTGGTTTCAACATTTTACATGATCACTTTCTTAAAGAATTTTTCTTTACCTTACTGTTTTCATATCTAGTATTCTTCATTACCTTGCTGTTCTCATATCTAGTATTCTTCTTTACCTTACTGTTCTCATACCTAGTATTCTTCTTTACCTTGCTGTTCTCATACCTAGTATTATTCTTTATCTTACTGTTCTCATATTTAGTATTCTTTTTTACCTTCCTGTTCACATATCTAGTATTCTTCTTTACCTTGCTGTTCTCATATCTAGTATTCTTTACCTTGCTGTTCTCATATCTAGTACTCTTTACCTTACTGTTCTCATATCTAGTATTCTTCTTTACCTTGCTGTTCTCAATCTCATATCTCGTATATTCGTCATAAATGACCCACTGGGATATGGTTGCTGAGAAGTCTGCTCTGAAGGTTTGGATAAATAACAGCAAAGTAAACGGTTTCTAAGAGAAGGTTCGGGTTTAAAGAAGAGCAGGGATAAGATTTAATGAACAACAAGAATAGCTGAACCGAACAGACGTAGTTCAACCACTTCTCTTGTGCGCCTGAACAAGCTAAAAAGAAATGGTTGAACTATGTATCCGCAATTCAATAATATCTCGCTACTCATCAAATCTGGTTCCGGCGATCGTAAGAGTGGCATTAATAAGTGAATAAGAAATGTGGGAGAAGGGGAAAAGGGATGAATTTGTTTTCCCTGTTTCTTTTAATTTCATTGATTCAACTTCTTCGAATTATCCTGCCTTGGCGGAGGTTCAGTTTGTGTATCCGCTGGTCTACCGGAGTTAGTGTGAGTTTGGGTTCCTCTCTCCAGGTACTTGAATTGATTAGTGAGATTCATCTCATCAGAGTTCTTCTCTTCTTCATCCCCGGCTTTATCTTCGGACCTGAAAGGGAGTGATCACCATAATTCAAAAAGTTTGTACTACAGTGATAACAGGAAAACTCTGAAATAGGAAGACGACTTTTAGAATTAAGTTATAATTTCAAATTTCAACGAGCATGAGATACAGCAATTGTCCAGTGTAAACAGACTCATTTAAATAAATTAGTGAAGTATTGCTATGATGGCGTCTTACTATTCCATAATTTTCTGCTTATCACTGTACTCATGCAAAATTAACCACTATTGATACTTCTTTTAATTCTATTGTCACCGCGTTAAATTTTTTTTAGAAAAATGTAAAATAAAAATAAAAGAATATGTGATTCATAAAATGCCTCAGGAAAACATTTGTGTAAATATGCTGATCGTTAAATCAAAACTGTTAACACTTTTGAAGAAATTAAATTAAATCTTTGATTTCAGTATTTTCAATTTTCTAGATGAGTTATTTTTGATTTTTTCATGAGATTCAGAAGTATTTTAAAGGATACTTTCTTAAAGACATTTTCCCAAGGGACATTTTCCCAAGTGACAACTTCCCAAATATGCAATTTCCAAAGCGGCAAATTCCCAAATTTACATTTCAGGTTAAGCAGGCTGAACGGGGTGGGAGGGGGGGTGCGTTCGCTGCGGTTTGGATGGGTTATGGGGCAGAGCGCTGCTGCTAGAACAGGCTAGGGGGCCTAGCGTTTCGGCTATTATTATTTGGGAAGTTTCTACTTGGGAAAATACCCTTGGGAAGTTGCCGCTTGGGAAAATGCCTTTAAGAAAGTACCAGAAAGTACCTCACATCTTTTAAAGAAACTGGTTTTAAACTTACTTAATGTTTTTATCCTCAGAAACTTCATCATAAATACTATCCTTGGTTTTCTTCTTCTCTGGAGATAGTAAACCTTCTCTTTTCAGCTGTTCAATCCCCTGCTCGGAATCCTTAATTTAAAAAAAATTCTTTAGATAAAATATTTCTTCTCCTTCTTGTTCTACAACCAAATTATTCATTAATGTCACGTCAAACACCAGAAAATTTCTCGTAAGATTAAAATCTACATATTTTTAACTATAATTCCTTTTATTCAAGAGATAATGAGAAAACCAAAAATGTTTTGAATTCCTAAATTTGGTTTTCTCATGCTTATGCGTAAAATCAAAACTATAGGAGCTACGAGGGTACACAAAGTGGTACAAGTAATGTCTAATGAATTCTACCCTCTACCTCTGGCTAGTTCACAGTTATTAAGCATTTTTATTGATATAGTTGTTGTCATTATCTCTATTTATAAAGTAGTGATCTCTGTTTGCTTGTCTGTTTGTTTGTTTGGTTGTCCGAGTGTTCTAATTTTCATTTCTTATGTTAATGTGAACACATTATAAAAACAAGAATTAAGTTGATTGAAAACGTTTCCGAAATTGAATACAAGGCCATCAACAAAGGATGAGACTTCAGAGGCTCCTCCAGATTTACATGTGTCTCTTTCGGTTCCAACTCAATATATAAACACATTAAAGGCTATATTCAAGGAAGAAGACCAACATAAACCCTCAAATTGTCATATTTAATTAGTTATGGGTCGTCATTAAAGCCTCCTTCTTTGTGGGTAACCCTCTACGTACAAAATTATTTAAGTATATGCAGTCATTCTTTATTTTTTATAAAATATTTTTTGCAGTCTAGCTCTTTTGGATTTTGATTACCTGATGAATGATGATGCTGGGAACATCTACATGATTATGATTTTTACCTTAAGAACGATGATGCTGGGAATATCTAAATGATCATGATTACCTTAAGAACGATGATGCTGGGAATATCTAAGTGATCATGATTACCTTAAGAATGATGATGCTGGGAATATCTAAATGATCGATCATTGTTTCACTAATCTTCATTTTTACAAAGGTTCCCCTGGGTAGATCAAACCTCACTTTGTTTATGCATGCCTAGGAACATCATATATTTTTAAAGAAATATCTTAAAAGTGTCAAGTCACTCATGATCATATTGATAGAAAAAAAATTTAAATCATATTGACAATAATGTTGGTGATCATATTGTTGTTTCAGGCCGTCTTTTTTCATGACTTTCAATCCTGATGCATTTTAATGTTAGTCATGTATAGTTCTGAAATCATATTGATGATGATGCTGATTGGGATTTTAATGAGCATGAGTTTTAGTGGTTTTATTTCAGGGGAAGGTATAATTTCAGGTTTAAGTTTAATTTTAGTATTCATACCCAAGTATTTGTCTTCGTGGTGTAATTTTTCTTTTTTATTCAAGAATAAATGTAATTTATTTTAACCCATCGTGGGCTCAATCAATTACCCGCTTTTTCGCACAACGGTTATTAAAAAAGAAACATATAAGTAGATTAAGAATTTTTGGTTAGGGTGGTCAAAAGAATCATTTCATAAATTTTTTAATTTTAAAACAATTTTTCTTATCTTTTATTTTACTTGAACTGATGTGAGACGCTTTATGTGTATTTGTCTAGAACTGAGTTCATTGTGTCATGTCTGATAATCGTTTATAATCTCTGAGTTCAACGTATTTTTATATGAAAGTCCCAAAAAAAGTGTTCTCAGCACAATGAATGATTTTAAGTTCTCAACACGTCCTGTTTGTTTTCAGCAACACATAATATTGCTTTCAGAAAATTGTAACGAGTGTAGGACGTAGGTCAGTGACTAGGAGAGTTAGGATGTTTAAGATTACATCAACATAGTGTCTAGGAAAGTTAGGATGTTTAAGATTACATCAACATGATTTTTGGAAAAAATAATACTAGGCTTCGTGCCTTTTGTTGAGACATATTTTCTTGTCTTTATTTGTGAATATTTCAAATTAAGAAAATTGAAATCTTTACAAATTATTAAATATTTGAATCCTGAATCTTGATCCAATTTAAAAAGTGTTATGCAAGGTAATAATTCTTAATTGTTTTAAGGTGGCAAAAAATCAAACAAAATCTTTTTTTTAAGATTTGCACATTTTCTACCTGAGGGTTAATCGAGGATAACTTTATCAGAACATCTTCATCCTCCTCCTTCTCCTCCGAACCTTCTCTAAACACCTTCGGATTAGCAGGTTCTTTCATCCTTGATCCGTTCTAACAATACCTTCGGTTCAACTTGGTGGGTCGGATCATTGTCTGGGTTTTAATCCAGGAATGAAGTGAGGATATTCCCTCCAGGATTCCCTGAGGCTCCATTTCAACCTCAACAATTACTATCAATCTTTATATAGAATACATTAAACTTGGCTTTAATTTGAAGAGAAGGAGGCCTAGCTACCAGGGAGCTAGGAAGGAAACTGTATTGAGAATGGACATTAACAAATAGTCTTTAATCGGGGGGAGGGAATTTTTTATGAACATTAATATTATTTAGTATTTACCCCCGGATTTAATTAGAATAAGAGCCCTCTGGGGAATTCTATTTTTACATTTCCCTGGTTTCCTAAATTTTTAAAACACATCTAAAACCTGCTCAAAAGTCAAAATTACCAAAAGTTTGTTAAAATAGAAACTTTACCTTTGCAACCTGAAGGTGTAAACCTTGACAATGAAAGATTGTGGCTTAGGAGGGATTAATGGAATTATCTGGAAATACTTAAAAACACATTGACACGCCAATTTTATGGAAGATCAAAATAAAATAACTTTTCCTACATTTAATGTTATTATTTGAATATAATTGTTAAAATATTACTTTATTTTAAGTAAAATTTCAAATATAAAGTGGCATGCCAAAACCTTCATCTGATTTATAATATGGAAAATATCGCTGTTCTTCTTTTATGTTTGTTTATAGTTTCATAATTCTAATATTTTATATTTTTATTCTCTTAAACCTCATTATTTCTTGAATTTCCGGTTGAGAAAGTTTCATCGAAAACCGGAAATAATTTGATTACACTTCCGGTGTGCTATATAGTGGTGTCTGGTGAGGCCTAATAAAATCTTCGTGATTGTTATTAGAATTTGGTTTAATTGTGCATAATATTAAAACTAACTATTCAATTGGGTTTGAAATTGGGATTGACTTTATTCTGACCCATTAAGTTATCGTCTCATTTTTTTTAATAATTTTTGTTGGTCTATGCAGTATGCATTCCGGGAAGAGAAATCACAAAAAAATGTCCTCCAATGCGGACGACTGAGCTAAACCGGGGTTTTATCTGTCAAGAGCGGTTTATATGAAATTCTTAAGTTGCAAACACATGTAATAGAAATGAAACGGATAAATTCAAATTTTTTAGTTTGGTTTACCCCAATCCTATCTCTTATTTTGGTTTACCCCAATCCTATCTCTTATTTTGGTTTACCTCAATCCTATCTCTTATGAAAAATAAATCAAAAAATGATTTGATGAACTTTGGCACGTTGGCATGATTCAGCTTAGTCAAGTTAGTTGATTAATTGTTATTTACTGACATAAAATTCTCTTTAAAGGGGTATGTTTCCCTCTAGTCCTCCTGATGTACCTTAGCAGGGGTTGGTTTCCTTTTAGTTCTCCTGGTATACCTAAGCAGGGGTTGGTTTCGCTTTAGTTCTCCTGGTATACCTTAGCAGGGGTTGGTTTCCCTCTAGTCCTCCTGGTATACCTTAGCAGGGGTTGGTTTCCTTTTAGTTCTCCTGGTATACCTAAGCAGGGGTTGGTTTCCCTTTAGTTCTCTTGGTATACCTTAGCAGGGGTTGGTTTCCCTTTAGTTCTCCTGGTGTACCTTAGCAGTGTTTGGTTTTTCTTTAGTTCTCCTGGTATACCTTAGCAGGGGTTGGTTTTTCTTTAGTTCTCCTGGTATACCTTAGCAGGGGTTGGTTTCCCTTTAGTTCTCCTTGATGTGATCCCGGGACGAGGGTTGATTTTAGGTCCCATCTTGGCCTAAAAACTGTTTTATATATAATATTATGTTATGAATATTTTACAAATGATTCGGTTATAACGTTGAAAAACACGTTCTTTTCGGATGTACAGTTAAAACTGGTTTTATATTAATATTATGATTGATTCCCCAGTTCCTTGTTATATAATATATAAATATAATAATATAGTGACTAGTCACCCTTCAACTTAATACACTGAGGAAACATACTTCAGAAATACGGAATATGCTGCAACTTTTACATCAATAGAATAATTAATAAAAATGTTATTTTGCTTAAATAAAACCTCCCAAAAAAAGATTTTTTTGTGTGCTAAGTCTGCAATAATTATATTGTTTGTATAAAACTTTCAAACGGGATTTGTGGATAAACAATACGTATCAAACTTGGCAAAATTCAGCAGAGCAATTGCAACTTTAATTTGAATTTTGTTTTAATCATTAATTTTAAAAGTTGCAACATCCTGAAGTATATTCCCGGAATACATAAAGCGTTAGACAGGCAAACCATGCAACAAGGGCATTGAGAAGCATTGAGTAGAGAGGTAAATCATGGAGTAGAATATGTAAGAGGGGTAAATCAACGAGTAGAATTTGATAGAGTAGTAAATCATAGAGTAGAATATGCTAGAGTGGTAAATTATAGAGTAGAATATGTTAGAGTGTTAAATTATAGAGTATAAATTTATAGAGCAGACTAAGTTAGAATGGTATATTCTTTTCTATTATAGATCCAACCCTGCTGCTCTATAAATCTTCTCTCTATGGTAGATCCAACCCTTCTGTTCTCTATATCTTCTCTCTATGGTAGATCCAACCTTCCTGTTCTTTATATATTCCCTCTATGGTAGATCCAACCCCACTGTTCTCTATATCTTCTCTCTATAGTAGATTCAACCCTACTGTTCTTTATATCTTCTCTCTATGGTAGATTCAACCCTACTGTTCTTTATATCTTCTCTCTATGGTAGATTCAACCCTACTGTTCTTTATATCTTCTCTCTATGGTAGATTTAACCCTGCTAATCTCTATATCTTCTCTCTATGGTAGATTCAACCCTGCTAATCTCTATATCTTCTCTCTATGGTAGATTCAACCCTGCTAATCTCTATTTCTTCTCTCTATGGTAGATTCAACCCTGCTAATCTCTGTATCTTCTCTCTATGGTAGATCCAACCCTACTGTTCTTTATATCTTCTCTCTATAGTAGATTCAACCCTACTGTTCTTTATATCTTCTATCTGTGGTAGATTCAACCCTACTGTTCTTTATATCTTCTCTCTATGGTAGATCTAACCCTGCTAATCTCTATATCTTCTCTCTATGGTAGATCCAACCCTGCTAACCTCTATATCTTCTCTCTATTGTAGATTCAACCCTGCTAATCTCTATATCTTCTCTCTATGGTAGATTCAACCCTGCTAATCTCTATATCTTCTCTCTATGGTAGATTCAACCCTACTGTTCTTTATATTTTCTCTATATGGTAGATTCAACCCTACTAATCTCTGTATCTTCTCTCTATGGTTTACCCCGATTCTAAGGTTTACATTGACTGGGGAAAGATAATTTGTCTCTATGCCGGGAATAAATACAAGGGGAAGGATACATTGTGGTAAACCACCAACCTTAATATACAATTATAAAAATCAGAGAAAATCAGGATTTTTTTTCATTCCGATTTTTCTGATTAAAAAAAAAATTTGAATGTTCACCACGAAGATCCTCTTAGCTATGTAGAAACGATTGAATATTATTAAATTATTAAAAGAGAATTAAATCATCTTCTAGAATCCTAGACTTAGCTGTAGTTACTAAACAAAAAATCCCAGATCAGGTATCATTAAAATTAGCACTGATCTACTTCTATAGGGAACCCCCTTTCATTTTTCAGGAACAGTAAACAGTATAAAAGCGTACTACGCATTAATGTGATAAACCCGTATTAAAATCATGTTTTGATTCGCAAAATTTATGTCAAAACTTTCAAAGAATTTATAAGTATAACTCGGTAATTATACTTCCTCCATTGTTAAGGATTGAACATGCAACTCTGAGTGTATTGTATATTATGGTATATATATATTATCATTATTATTATGATTATCTGTAAACCAAGGGGAGGGGGGATACTTTTTTACACCAGGGGGATTGAAGGAGAGTGATTTCCCTAAATACAAACCATTTGTAGGGTAAAGATAATTTTTTCTTACTCTTAGGAACTGAGTTTTTGCCACAAACTCAAATTTTCTAACTACAATATCTTTGCAACCTGATGTTGTGAACCTTAGAACTTTCAAACTTATACATTTTGTTCTAACAGAATTCATAGTTTGAAACAAGGTACTAATGCAAGGAAAGTTAATTACGGTCGCGTACATATTCAAACCAGTTCTCTCTGGGCGGAATTTGTGTTCGACTAGTATCTGAGGAGGATAAAAGCATTTAATTTTGATAATTTTGAAAATTCAAATGATAGTTTCCTATGACCAGGATATTTCATAGATTATTTTTGTGAAAATGGATTCCATGTCAGGCTTTGATATCCGTCTTGTGTTTACTTTTCCGCCCAAAGACAGTACACTGCAGTACAAAAAATGCGTACACCTCTGAAATAACTTTCCTTGCATTATTACCTTGGTTTGAAATATCTAAAATCTACGACATTGGGTTTCAAAGATGTAGAGATTTTAAGATTATAGTTTGTAATAAAACCTCATTTCCTTTTAATATAAAGGAATTGATGTTGTAAATGCTGTAATCTTATTACTTGTCCCAAACTGTATCAGTCCAGGCACAACCTTTCCGCTATCAAAGTCAACCAGGACACAATCCACCAGATTACAATCCCGTGAACTATCAACGCCACTGGGCGCGATCTCGGTAGCTATTCAAGAAGCTATTACTCAGACTCTAAATGCCACACAGAGACATAAGCGTATCTATCAACCAATTTATTCCTCAGACTCTAAATGCCACACAGAGACATAAGCGTATCTATCAATCAATCTATTCCTCACACTCTAAATGCCACACAAGGACACACGCATTGGCTATCTATCAAGCCCTTAATTGATTGCTACCCTATAAAGAGGTATAATCTCAATCTGAATATTTCAACGGGAGTACAATTACTCTACACTGTAATCAAAATGGAGTTCTGGTTCATAACTGATATTTATTACAAATATCCATATGTTACATGTTAAATTCCAATACGCATTCACAATATTATAACGCAGGTATATAATCTAATCACAATACGTAGCTAGTCTAGTCGCATTACAAGTTTTCCGTATTTAAGGATGAACGCCGTAGATCTTAGTTATTTCAAACAATGAATTCTGTTAGATAAAATATTTGAAATATTACAGGTTTACATGACCAGGTTACAAAAATATATGGATGAGAAAATTTTAGTTTCTGGCAAAGATTCAATTCCTTAGTTAAAGAGACTGTAAGCGTGATTTGAAGCAACCCTTCATGCAAATATGACATTGCCCGATTCACAATGGTACCCTTTAAAGCGTTTTCTGATCAAGTACAAATTAGATACCAGTGTTTACAATTACAAAAACTGATTATTTTTGATTGTGGTTTCTCTACAACAGTGATTTGCTCATTTCTACTGCGCGCACGAAGAAAACTAATTATCAGATTCAAACACTTTAGTGTCTATAAACACGAAAATATCTTCCACATTATTATATAATATAAACCGAAGCTAATATCTTTATAACAGTTTTTTTTGTATAACATTTAATAAACATTAACTTTGTACTTCCGTTTTCAGTCATCCTGATAATCAAATCTTCTATCAATTCATAAATTAGTTTCAAATTAGTTTGTCAAATGTCTAAATAATTTCCTATGACCAGGATATTTCATAGATTATTTTTGTGAAAATGAATTCCATGTCAAGCTTTGATATCCGTCTTGTGTTTACTTTTCCGCCCAAAGACAGTACACTGCAGTACAAAAAATGCGTACACCTCTGAAATAATTTTTCTTGCATTGGTACCTTGGTTTGAAATATCTAAAATCTACGACATTGGGTTTCAAAGATATAGAGTTTTTAAGATTATAGTTTGTAATAGTTTTAATATAAATGAATTGATGTTGTAAATGCCGTACTCTTATAACTTCGTCCCAAACTGTATCAGTCCAGGCACAACCCGTCCTCTATGAAAGTCAACAAGAACACAATCCACAAGATTACAATCCCGTCAACTATCAACGCCATTACCACTGGGTGCGATCTCGGTAGCTATTCAACAAGCTATTACTCAGGCTCTAAATGCCACAAAGGGACTCCAGCGTAGCTATCAATTAATCTATTACTCAGGCTCTAAATGCCACACAGGGACACAAGCGTAGCTATCAAACAAGCTATTACTAGCCTATAAAAACGAAAATATCTTCCACATTATTGATCAGATTAAGGTTAAGGGTACTATTGGAAATATAAACAAAAGTTTAAAGCTAATTATATCTTTATAACAGTTTTTCTTGTATAACATTTAACAAACATTAACTTTGTACTTCCGTTTTCAGTCATCCTGATAATTAAATCTTTTATCAATTCATAAATTAGTTTCAAATTAGTTTGTCAAATGTCTAATCTTCTAGTGTATGTCTGGGTTTAGAGTCCAGTCAGGAACAGATAGTGATAGCAACAAGCTTAAATAAACATAAAGAACGTATCTGTAAATATGTTTTTAATACATAAGCCGTGTATATGCAGAAAATGCTAAAATGTTTTTTATTCATCCTCAACCTTAAAAAAGATAATTCACATTTTTTTTGGAATAATTGAATTAACATTTTTAATAATGATATGATTATTTTGCTTGTTTCTACACAAATATAAACACGGAAAGATTCTTAGAATGTGGTTCATATGTAGCAATGACGTAGTGGGCCTTACTCCCCTCATAAAACCAAGAGGCAAGCCGTTGTATGCGACACTTTAGTGTAAACCCAGTCGGAGTTGATTGTGTCCTGGGGTTCATTGAAATTTCATAATTTTTAACCCTACCTTCAAGACATTATTTTAATATGCGTACTTTTTACTTAATATCTAAAGAATTTAAATTTCAGATAAACATAAACATAAACAAAATTGGAACAATTACTTTTCCCTACCACAAGTCCAGTTCAGAACCCGAACTGGTTTACGAACTGGAACCAGAACCTGAATCTGATAAAAACCAGAATTAGAACAAAGAAACAAAAACAGGTTAAGAATTCGAACCAAAACCAGTTTAGGAATTAGAAGCAGAACCAGTTCAGGAATTAAAATAAGAATGAAGAACACAGCACTCAGATCAACTCTATCAAGGGACCAAACCATGCAGATCTTTTATCCATTGTAAGGTTTCAAGGGCTTAACAATCAAGTGTTGGGGAAGCATTTCCTCCGTCATATAATCAAGTGTCCGTCATATAATATATTAATTACAAGTCTTCCAGGTCGCTTCGCGCCCATCTTTAATTTTAACTTTTAATTTTTGCACTTGCATCGATTTTGTTTCGTGGAATTTTAAAAATCAACTTTGTAAGGCAATTTTTTTCAATTCTAACCATCTCCATAAACCTTTCCTGGGATCATGGTGAGATCCTACAAAAAGTTTGGGCCCGATCGGTTTAGCCGTTTTGACGTTTATCGGTTAAAAATAAACAAACAAACAAACAGACAAGTTGAGCAGAGAAGTTGACCTTCCTGGTTTGTAGCCTGGTGTACCTGGTTGTCCTGGTATATGTGGTTCGGGGTGAGAATGTAGGATGGAAAAGTTACCTGGAGGAAAACCCAACCGAGTTCCATGATCTTCCTCTAGCTTGGGAACCTGGATCAAAGGAAATAAACTAATAGAGAGAACTTTTTTATTTTCTTTTTAAAATAAGTTAATATGAACAGAATTACCCACAAAGCTAAACTAAAAGACCTAAACTTCTTGAATACCACGATTTGAAGTTTAAATTCATGAAAAGTGTTTTTAAAATATTGTGTGGATAAGAATTAAAACAAATAACAGATTATTTTTAAAGCTAAAATAAATCTGAACATAAATTAATCTAAATTCTTATTCTTGTTAAAACCCTGTATTTTTGATAAAATGAATATGAATAAAAAACTTGTCAAAATAAGCAAGAATATTGCCAGATTGGAACATTTTAGTTTATTCCTAGGTTCCTGACTGGTTATCTGGAACTTATGTGAGAAATGGTCCAGCTCAGACTACTTTTGGTTCTGAAAGGAATATATTTTAACATTAATGAAAAACAAGAAATCCATCTTAGACTTTCTACAACCAATTCTACTCTGACTTAAGATACTCCTAAGCCTCCTTCTATTCCTTATTCTCTTACTTATACTCCGATAATTCAGGTCCTTCTCCCTGTAATCCTTCTACTCTTAATTCTCTTAGTACCTAAATTCCTATTCTTTCTCTTACATCTACTATATACTCATACTGCTACTACTATTCCTTACGTCTACTCATATCCCTACTTTTACCCCTATCCCTACTTCTAATCCTATTCCTACTTCTACTCATATTCCTACTTCCACTCATATTCCCACTTCTTATCCTATTCCTATTTCTACTCCTATTCCTACTTCTACTCCTATTCCTACTTCTACTGCTAATCCCACTTCTACTCCTATTCCTACTTTTACTCCTATTCCTACGTCTACTCCTATTCCTACTTCTACTCCTATTCCTACGTCTACTCCTATTCCTGCTTCTACTCCTATTCCTACGTCTACTACTATTCCTACCTCTACTCCTATTCCTACTTCTACTGCTATTCCTTCTTCTAATAATTCTTTGATTTAGTATAGTGATACCTACTGCAGAAAGCTGAAATCTGTAAGAGTT